CATTCCCAAAATTTCTCAGGCCATATGTGGTGTTCAAAAGAAATATGGCGTCCACAAAATTGGAAAAATTAACTGTTTTTTTTAAATTTTCGGACAAAAAACCTTTGTATTTGCCCAAATTTTCAAAATAATCACTTTAGAATGATGAAAATACGCTAATCATGCCTCCTAAAGTGTTTCTAGGTCGTTTCCAGAAAAGTCAATTTTTGACCAAAATTTGATAAAAAAGTAAGGCTAACCCCTTGCATTTTTTTCAATTTTGGCCAACAAATGAAATTGCTTGAAAATTGCCAGGAAGATGCCTGATGGCCCTTACAACACATTCCCAAAATTTCTCAGGCCATATGTGGTGTTCAAAAGAAATATGGCGTCCACAAAATTGGAAAAATTAACTTTTTTTTTAATTTTCGGACAAAAATCCTTTGTATTTGCCCAAATTTTCAAAATAATCACTTTAGAATGATGAAAATACGCTAATCATGCCTCCTAAAGTGTTTCTAGGTCGTTTCCAGAAAAGTCAATTTTTGACCAAAATTTGATAAAAAAGTAAGGCTAACCCCTTGCATTTTTTTCAATTTTGGCCAAAATATGAAATTGCTTGAAAATTGCTAGGAAGATGCCTGATGGCCCTTACAACACATTCCCAAAATTTCTCAGGCCATATGTGGTGTTCAAAAGAAATATGGCGTCCACAAATTGGAAAAATTAATTGTTTTTTTTTAATTTTCGGACAAAAATCCTTTGTATTTGCCCAAATTTTCAAAATAATCACTTTAGAATGATGAAAATATGCTAATCATGCCTCCTAAAGTGTTTCTAGGTCGTTTCCAGAAAAGTCAATTTTTGACCAAAATTTGATAAAAAAGTAAGGCTAACCCCTTGCATTTTTTTCAATTTTGGCCAAAAAATGAAATTGCTTGAAAATTGCCAGGAAGATGCCTGATGGCCCTTACAACACATTCCCAAAATTTCTCCAGCCATATGTGGTGTTCAAAAGAAACATGGTGTCCACAAAATTGGAAAAATTAATTGTTTTTTTTTAATTTTCGGACAAAAATCCTTTGTATTTGCCCAAATTTTCAAAATGATCACTTTAGAATGATGAAAATATGCTAATCATGCCTCCTAAAGTGTTTCTAGGTCGTTTCCAGAAAAGTCAATTTTTGACCAAAATTTGATAAAAAAGTAAGGCTAACCCCTTGCATTTTTTTCAATTTTGGCCAAAATATGAAATTGCTTGAAAATTGCTAGGAAGATGCCTGATGGCCCTTACAACACATTCCCAAAATTTCTCCGGCCATATGTGGTGTTCAAAAGAAATATGGCGTCCACAAATTGGAAAAATTAATTGTTTTTTTTTAATTTTCGGACAAAAATCCTTTGTATTTGCCCAAATTTTCAAAATAATCACTTTAGAATGATGAAAATACGCTAATCATGCCTCCTAAAGTGTTTCTAGGTCGTTTCCAGAAAAGTCAATTTTTGACCAAAATTTGATAAAAAAGTAAGGCTAACCCCTTGCATTTTTTTCAATTTTGGCCAAAATATGAAATTGCTTGAAAATTGCTAGGAAGATGCCTGATGGCCCTTACAACACATTCCCAAAATTTCTCAGGCCATATGTGGTGTTCAAAAGAAATATGGCGTTTACAAAATTGGAAAAATTAATTGTTTTTTTTTAATTTTCGGACAAAAATCCTTTGTATTTGCCCAAATTTTCAAAATAATCACTTCAGAATGATGAAAATATGCTAATCATGTCTCCTAAAGTGTTTCTAGGTCGTTTCCAGAAAAGTCAATTTTTGACCAAATTTGATAAAAAGGTAAGGCTAACCCCTTGCATTTTTTTCAATTTTGGCCAAAACATGAAATTGCTTGAAAATTGCCAGGAAGATGCCTGACGGCCCTTAGAACACATTCCCAAAATTTCTCAGGCCATATGTGGTGTTCAAAAGAAATATGGCGTCCACAAATTGGAAAAATTAATTGTTTTTTTTTAATTTTCGGACAAAAATCCTTTGTATTTGCCCAAATTTTCAAAATAATCACTTTAGAATGATGACAATATGCTAATCATGCCTCCTAAAGTGTTTCTAGGTCGTTTCCAGAAAAGTCAATTTTTGACCAAAATTTGATAAAAAAGTAAGGCTAACCCCTTGCATTTTTTTCAATTTTGGCCAAAATATGAAATTGCTTGAAAATTGCTAGGAAGATGCCTGATGGCCCTTACAACACATTCCCAAAATTTCTCCGGCCATATGTGGTGTTCAAAAGAAATATGGCGTCTACAAAATTGGAAAAATTAATTTTTTTTTTTTTAATTTTCGGACAAAAATCCTTTGTATTTGCCCAAATTTTCAAAATAATCACTTTAGAATGATGAAAATATGCTAATCATGCCTCCTAAAGTGTTTCTAGGTCGTTTCCAGAAAAGTCAATTTTTGACCAAAATTTGATAAAAAAGTAAGGCTAACCCCTTGCATTTTTTTCAATTTTGGCCAAAAAATGAAATTGCTTGAAAATTGCCAGGAAGATGCCTGATGGCCCTTAGAACACATTCCCAAAATTTCTCCGGCCATATGTGGTGTTCAAAAGAAATATGGTGTCCACAAAATTGGAAAAATTAATTGTTTTTTCTTAATTTTCGGACAAAAATCCTTTGTATTTGCCCAAATTTTCAAAATAATCACTTTAGAATGATGAAAATATGCTAATCATGCCTCCTAAAGTGTTTCTAGGTCGTTTCCAGAAAAGTCAATTTTTGACCAAAATTTGATAAAAAAGTAAGGCTAACCCCTTGCATTTTTTTCAATTTTGGCCAAAATATGAAATTGCTTGAAAATTGCTAGGAAGATGCCTGATGGCCCTCAGAACACATTCCCAAAATTTCTCTTGCTTTATGTGGTGTTCAAAGAAAAACAGTGCGCCTGTTGCTTTGTTTGTTCTGTTACAACTTTATTCTCAGTACAGTGAAGTAACGAATGAAGGTTTACTTTGAATACAAATTTAATTGTTACCCAGGTCAAACATATTTCACTGCTACGTTGCAGGATTTGTAATTTTAAGACACATGTTTTTCTTGAAACCATGGGGTTGTCTCCAGCTTCGGCTCTACACCTGGCTTTAGAGCAGGAGCCCCCACATCAGGGGCCGTAATTCCCCAGAAGCCATAGTGGATAACAAAACCAAGGTTTCAAAAACCTCATGTCTCATGTAATGATGTTATGTCATCCTTTTTAGGTCGAGGCTTAAGTTATACCTGAAACTGCGAGTCCATTTTTTTCTGAAAACTGTCACAACACTTGGCCCATTTTGAACAAAAGAAGTTAATTATGAAGGGCACAAACAGTGCAAGTTAGGAAATCCCCCCCCCCTTTCAAAACTTTTGTCGTGAATGTGCACCCTTACATAAATGAAACATGACTGCTGTGCTGGAGGCAACTTGGTAAAGAGGGTGAGAAAAGGGGCGGGGCTAGGGAGGAAAAAAGGGGAGAAGGAAGTATCAACAGTAGGCAATCATTGCTGAGACTTAACACCAATAGCAAACAGCTATAAAAATATACAGGTATAGAAAACATCCTGCTCTAGAAATGTGCTTGGGACTGCCATAGAAAATTCACACATACCCCCATATCTGACATAATTCAGAAATTGTAGGCAATCACAAATATTAGTAAAATTTTGATTGAGAGAGACAAACGAAAAAAGAAATGCAAATAATTATTTCAAATTATGAGTTTGATTTGTTTTGGCGATACTCCAATCTAAAAAAGAGCTCTCTTAATGCACAACCTTCTAAAACAATAACCACCCAATCTGATTGGTTGAATTAGATATCCTCCACCAATCAAATGTGCTCTACTGAAGAAAAAAACTTAAAAACTTTTGAATAGATACAGGAAATGTGATTTGCTGATTTTGATTTCTGATAAAAACAAACAGTGATGGTTGTCACATATTCTTGTGAATACAAAACAATGAAGCTGATTAAATCATTTTTCTGCTGTGTCAAACTTTTAACCAATAGGAGTGTTCATGCACTTGGCAAATAACCTTACACCATGAAAACTGACGACACATCCGATTGGTTGCTTTCAACCATTCAATGAAATTTCAGCCAATCAGCGGTAATATAACAATTTGGAGTGTTTACTTCGGCATTATTTTAACTACAGAAAACAACATATGATACAATTAAATATCACTTTGGATAGTAAAAACAAAGTCTACATTATGTAACTTGGGCTAGGAATACAAATTATGCTATGAATTATGAATTGAAAAAAATTTATCAGTTGTAATCATTTCTCTATATACATCTTCCCGCATAAATATTTGTATATATTACAAAAACGAATACACAGTATGAATTCAGGCCCAATTTTGTTTGTTTAATTTAATTTCGAGTTGACCGTCTTCCAGAAATGGAAATGTTAGTTTGTAAACTTGTGAAGTTAACAGATACCAAATTCAAGAACTTTCCAAAACTGGAAACTAACCATTTTCACACACTATGTTTTTGTTAATCATCAGTTACAAGAGCTGACCCCAGTTAACAAGCTTTGTTGTTGTCTTAAAATCCTCTGCTAAATCAGACAAGTAAAGTAAGTAAAATCTGTCACGAGCCAATGTGGCCCATCAGGCCGGCATTTATCTCCGGTTTCAGTAGCATTGAGACTATTTCTATTTCCCCTGGATGGGATACTAGTCCATCGCAGGTTACTCCCCAGCTAATGCCAGTACCCATTTATACTCCTGTGTGGAGAGAGGCAAGTGGGGGTGAAGTGGCTTGCCCAAGGACACAACATATGGCCGGCGGCTGGATTCGAACAAATGACCCTCTTGATCATGAGTCGCAAACCCTAACCACTAGGCCACACTTCCCCACTGCAAAATTAGAACGTCACTGCTAAAAATCAAGAAATAATTATGAGAAAAGGAAGCTGATTGCAGATTTCGAATCACAAAGCAGGGAGCAAAATACAACATTGTAAAGACAGAACATTTATATTTTTCCTTCATGATTAACAAAAATAACCCCAAACCTTTTAAAAATGAATTTTTTGGGGGATAAAACCCAGTAATGTTAAATTTTATATACACATTTACAAAATACAAAAATTACTGAGGAATACAGCGTATGTAATTAATAGTACAAGAGAGAAGAAAACCCACCTAAAAAGATTTTTAAAAAGTCGAAAATAAAAAGAAACAAATACAGAAACAAAAAGATAAATTTAAAATCAAAGAAAGAGCTAACCCAAACTGGAGGTCAAAAACAAGAATACTACAATATGAAAATATGGTGTATTGAATGTTAAACAAATGTGACATTGAATACCACAATACACAATAATCTACATTACATTAAGTGATTATTTGTGATAGCTGTATATTGTGTCGCTTCTGTACTATCCAATTAAAAATTGAAGACTAAAATAATTGTTTTCAGACTAATTAGCTTAAATATCAGTTGACGATTTTACACCTTTTTTTGTAACAGTGAATACACAGAAATTAAACATATGTACAAAACATATCACTGAACCACTCAACAGGAAATTATTTTGAATGAAGATTTTAAAAATTGGCGCCTTGTGTTGAAATGAACAAATCTGTGGCTTCAAATGTACTAAAGTTTTAGCTAAGACTTAAATTGCTCACTAAACATTAAGCAAGTTTGTTCAAGATTCAGATTGTATTACTTATTTGTTCTAAACACATTTTTATCAATGGGTTTAGCATTTTTTTTTTTTTATATAGTTCAAATCAGGAACTCAGTGATAAGGCAGAGTTTTGTTATAATTATTTTTTAAATATTTTGTTCATCGTTACGGCTATTCTGTCTTTCCCAGCAAATCCCAATTTTGTTAAATCTTTTTTTTTGCAGTCAGTCTGAAATCAATTCTAGGCACACTAGACGGAAAGGCTCAATGAAGTCAGACCAGCACGGTCATGTTTTTAAAATGTTGGCACAATATGTTGAATTAAGGCAAGACTTGAAAACTTTGGTGGGTTTTAGGATGTGACCGACAAGACAAGCCTATTTGTTTCAGCCATTTGTGAATCCCAGATATACGAATAATGCAATTGGTGCAAAAATACAGATAATGGTTCTTTGTTGAAAATGGTAATCAACATCACCGGATATACCAAACTTTGCGACTTGGTGCAAGAATATGATCAAAAAAAGAAAAAAAAAAGGGCACCTTTTTTAAAATCGGTTATTTTTAATAGGCACCTTGTTTAAAATCATCACCAGCTGTACCAAACTAAGGGACTTGGTGCGAGAATAAAAAAAACTGGTACTGTGTTTGAAAACCGGTTACTGACTTCACCAGATATACCAAACTCTTGAACTTGGTGCAAGAAAAGAAACTGGTACTTTGCTTAAAACTGGTAACCGACATCACAGCTCTGTGGTTAGTGTACATCTCTTTCCCGACCCACCCGACGCCGACAAATTGAGATCTGGGAATGGGTCCGCTCCGGTCCAGGCTCCGGCCGGTTGACCTCCAGAGGTCACGCTGACCGTCGGTGCGGCTATCTGGGCGTTGCCGTTGATGACCACCGGTTGTTGCTTCTGTCGTAGGCTGGCGATCTTGCGCAGGTTGCTGCCGGAGGTGCTCTGCTTTGGGGCGGACTCCAGCGCCTGGCGAAAGTAGGAATTGAGGAGACACGCAAATGATAACAAATGTACTCAAGGGCCTGTTTTAATTTGGAAAAGTGAGACATAAAAAGATGCCTCAAACTCAGATCAGAATGACCTAAACATGGCATTCATGTCTGAGATGGGGAATTGAAAAAAATGATGTCACATGGCAGAGGATGAAATAACAGTACGTCACCCACTGTCTATTTTCTGAATGTTAACCATCTAAGTCAAGTTTTGCATTCTAGTGCAGTTAAACCGGCTGTGCTGCTTCATTTTCGTCTGAACATCTTCTGTGTCCAATTTCACCCGATGCGAAATGAAGTAAACTCTTGCTTTGTGCTTTTATACATTCCTTTCAAGATTTCTCTCTTATACTCACCTGGTTCATGATTAGTTTTTCTTGATTTTTGGTGTTTTTTTTACTTACAGACAACTAAACAAAACGGAACAACAGCAGTGTTAGTGTTAAACCAGGTTGACTACTGAACTAGCGGATTACTAGTTATGATCAGTTAGGAAAAAAATGGAAGTGTCCATAAGTTTTTTGGATACATTCTGGGCGAAAGTGTTAAACCATGCATACAGACTTGTTACTTTGCAGGATGCGCAATGACAAAATAACAAGTTCAACTCTAAGAAAAAACCTGGGAGATTTTTTTTTAACCAGCCAAATCAGAATTTAATTTATAAAGCATCAGTGGCCAAGTTCGGGCAAGAACCATGAGTCGACTAGTGGTTGATTTGTGACGTACCTTACGCCTGCACACTGATAGCAACGTCAAACGCTGGTCAAATTGTCATCGCAAAACTTCTGGATCCTGGCTCTCTGCTTGCGTTATGAATGCGCGCGGCTATTGGTTGACAGCGAAGCAACCAACCCCAGTAGGCTGGTTCCAAATAGTCGACTAGCGTAGTCAACCACCGTCGACTAGACAGAGTTCGGGCAAACGTTAGTTAACCATTGGTCAACTATAGTCCTTGCGCGAACTTGGCCTACGATAAAGTTCTGGCAAAGGAGTGTATTGCGGGTCGTTATGGACACTTCCATTTTGTTTGGGTCAAACTACAAAGCAGGGAACCAGCTACCTACGTCTAGTTTACTGTTTGCTGAACTGCTGGTGGTTACCGATGGAACTCTCTGCAGGTAGCAACAGGCAAGACGAACAAAGACAACGAAATGTAAAAAACAACGAAAAAACAAGTTTCTGAATGAATGTGATCAATGTCAAAATACAAACAAGATGAACCAGTTTTCATATTTTAAATTTTATTTTGTTTTCTTGGGAACATGAGGGCAAGTTAAAGAAATCAGTAATTAACAAATTGATTGTCCCCGAAAATTTGAATAAACAAATATCGGGACGACTTTTATTTGGAGTTGCCTTTAAACTGTTAGTGCATGCAGGTTTTTCTGGAAAGCACAAGCATATAAAAAAACAGCAACCAGAACAAACCGAAGTTAGAACAAAAAAGTTAATGACTGAACGAGCAACTACAAATGAAACGAAGAGAAAGTAATGAAAAGGAAAAAACGTACCCCAATATTTGCAAGGGAGGGTGTAGGAGCAGTGTTTGTGGAGGCGGCCATGCTTAGTTCTACACTGTCGGACATGCTTGGTGCGGGCGTACTCTCCGCAGCTTGAACAGCGCCCTCGCTAGCCGACGGGCCGACGACGGAGAACGCCACTCCCCCGGCGGTCTGCTGACCCACCGGGGAGGTGCCCTCTGTTGTCGGCCCGCCTGCAGCTTGGCTGCTCTCCATAGCCGCGGCGGCGGCAATATTATCGATTTTCTGTTCGTCGGTCTTGTTCATGATGGTGGTGATGGTGACATCGTCTTCTTGCAATGGCTGATGGGTAGGGAAGGGGGGGGGGGCGGGGATGGAAAGATATATAAAGGGGAGGCGGCTCGTCATGCATGTGAACGAAAAGTTTACAGCGATGCAACAAAAAAGGGTCATGTATGTGACAGTGTTGAGGCAAATATGACGACAAGCTAAGCAAGTCCACAGCAGATTTTGGTCTGGCAATTTCTTTGAAAACAAAACTTTCACAAGATTTCTGGAACACGATTGATTTTAAATTTTTTTCCACCCATTCTGAAATTCTAAAATTCCAAAAAGTACAATTAAATTTGAATGGTATAAAATACAGTTATCTTCAAACTTCCAAAGGAATGGATTTGAAATATAAGTTCAGACTTCAACAATTTATACATAATAAGAAAAAATCTTCAGGAAAATCATAGAAGTTTCAGCATGAACTAGTTGCAAGTGGACTAGCTTATTCTGGCAGATTCTCAACGGCAAATGACTGATTTAATGAGGGTTTTTTTTGGTCAATGTTACCTTTCAGAGGAATGATATATTACAAGATGCATTCTCTGCTTTATTCTTAAGTGCATTGGCTAGTTAATTACTATATTTGAGTTGATACAGTGAATGGTCTTATACATGCCAAATGAATGGGCTGAACATAGCGGGACTAAAAGTTTTTTTATAAAACAGATGAAATTTTGGATAAATTGTTACGCTGTGCAAAAAGTGGATAGTGACTGAAAGCCTGAAATTTGATTAGTAAAATACCATTTGGCAGGTTTTGAAGAGAAGAAAAATTGCTCAAGTAAGGTTTTTATGTTACTTGAAGGCATTTCACAGATTAAGTCAGCTTTGCAAGATATAATTATAAGCAAAAAAGCAAGATTTTTGACCATTAAGAAGCTTTTTTTCCCCAAAATTGCCCTTTTTTGGTGACTAGGAGGGTTCTCAATTGTGTTCCGTAACTTTTACTTGCATGTACTCTTTGTAAACGATTTATTAATTCAAACCTCATAGTGCAGTTTCTTAAGTCAATTAAAAATATGATTCTGTAGAAATTAGGGCCACCACAATCTCAGCTTTGTCAACAAAATCCAAATGACATTTCGTTTGAGGTGACTGACTACATCCAATGGGAAGTGGGGTGAAGGAAAGGGCGTGGCTTTTGGGGAAAAGTGAGGGGTGTACGTCACAATACCTGAAGCATGTTTGGACTAACGCCGTTCTGCTGTGCATCGGGGTTGCTTACGCTGCGTAGCCTTCCCTCCCCGTTCACCATGAGCTGGTTGGACCTGCTGGCCTGCTCGGCGGTTTTGACTGGCGGGGGCGTTAAGGGGTCCAGCATGGGGTCGTCCATGGGGTCGTCGAGCTTGCTGATCTCTGGGGACCGGTTCAGGTGGACTACCAGTGCCTCCTTGTCATTGTGTACACCACTGTGGGGGAAATACATTAATCATATTTGACGTCAAATCTTCTGCAGAAGGGCTATAGATAAAAAAAAATTAGGTACATATTTCTCCATTTGTTTTTACCACAAAACAAATGCCATCCTTTTATGAAGTAATAATTGTATAACCAAAGTAGCCAAACCATAAGTTTGGATATTCGAATACAACTTTGGATTTTTCTTTTCATATATTTTGATTTTAATTAAGTTATCTACAGTGCCAAATATTTTGACAAACAGTATCTTAATTTTCTTCAAAACTTTGATTCAGTCGGAAAGGGACCTATCATTTCTACATTTTCACTTTTCAAAAGGAATTACAACTCTGACTTCCTAGTCACACTCTGCAGTCCTAGTTTTTTTTTAGCATCTATTACACACTACCACTACTTTGTTTCTAAAGAATTGTTTTTCTAAAAATGCCAGCAATCTTGAAAACAAATGACTGACGTGTTATAGCATTGAACGGGTTGTGCAGGCCATCAGAATAGCCAGGTGCAGTGCTCTCTACTCTGTATCATGTGCATGGCAGTAAGCAAGTAACTAGACTAGTCTACACGTTCATCTTCAACCTGATAAAACCAACCTCTTTTTTTTCAACAATAAGAGTGGCAGTTTAGCAAGCAACAAAATTGCATATCTGCTACATGTTGTTGGTGCTGACTATAACAAAATGCTGAGGGTTGGTTAGTCTTAATCGAAGACTGGATTTGGGGTCAATATCAACAAGATGAATCAAATTCTGTCTTGGTAATATTGGCAGCGACACCCAGGAAATTCCGAGCATACCACACGCGTGCATGCATTAGTTTGAATACAGCATGTGTGAGGTATGTTCAGAATTTCCTGGGTAGTGCTGCCTGGATTGAATTCTCTTGTTGACAGAGACGTCCACTGCCGCGGCAACTTTACCGGTTTGTCACTTGACTGGCTGCAAAATAGGGGAGTACAAATTAAATCCAGTCTTGAACTAAGACTAAGGTGGTTTTGTGTGAAGTGTGTACTTGTAACCGGCGAAGGGGTTGAACTGACAAAAAGCACTATCAGAGAAAGGGCCTATCATTCTACATTCTCAAGAGTCAAAACAAACATGGAACAAAATCTACAGAACCTTAAAAAAAACACCTACAAGAAAACAAATGCAAGCCATACAAAAGTCTTTTACTCAAAAACTGAACAAGAGCTCTTTCACAATTCAGCTATCTTGGTTTTCTAGTCTGGTGCCTAAAAAGATGACAAAGGTAAAGGTACAATTGGTTTGGGTCAGGTGTGCCCACTAACAAGTTTAAGGGACCATAGTGATGGTCCCTCGTTTGGTTATCTCAAGAAGTTTTGGTCAAATAAATAGCTGCTTTTGGCTGCAGCAAAGAACCAAGAATATTTGTTTCCCCTTTATCTCTTTTGCGTCCAAGTATAAAGGGTAAAGGCTTCATAACAATCTTAGATTTTGCTTCAGGGAACTAGTCTAGAGACGGTCTGTAGTGTGAAACTAACTCCTAAGCAGTGACATGCAGGTTGAAAATAGTCCGGTACCAACGATGTAATAACTGACTTCATAACAACCAATATATAGACTTCTGGCTACAATACCAAAAAATGGCCGCAAAATGGGAAACCCCTAAATTTCTGTTGTTCTGCAAAATGAACTTACTTTTCGTTCCAAGGACTAGTCAGTTGTAACGTTTAGCAAGAAATAATGGAAAAAAGGAAAGAAATACATGTAAATGCTCGAATGCTACCTACAGAATGCTGGACATTTTGAAAATAGCTCAAGAATGTTGCAGAAAATGGCGGCAGATGTTGCACTCACACACAAATCTTACCTGAATATTGGTTGTTTTTTCCTGTTTTTACACAAAGTAAAGGTTTCAGAAATAGATTCATTTTGACAAAACATTATCACAGAACTTAACAAGATGGAAATTGTATGAAATGTAGATATTTTAAAGCTTTTCATAAGTGACAAGACAAATATTTAAAAAACAACAGACATTTCCACAGCGATGTGCTTGGTGAAATAAGAACTGTTTCTGGCATGCATTTTTTGCTCATTGTTTTCTACTGTGTAAAACCATGATTTTGAACTGTAGCTACAAACAAACCTACCGGTACCAGTACTACAAGCATGCAATTTGATAAAATAAAGAATTACATGCATACATCAACACAAAAAGGGTGATGATAAATGTGACCAAACCACTTCAAAATAAACGCCAAATCACAAAATCTGCTTTCACACGTACGAAATAATACCAAAGTGTAGTGATCACATTATCAAATGATAACACTCAATTTGAAGTTTGCATTTTACATAAGTTTTCCAGTTGAATTTTTTAAACTGTATTCAATACACAGAATGCAGTGTAAAATCGGATGTGATCTTATTTAAATTTTTTTTTTTTTTTTTTTGCAGTCACAATTTTTTTCAGTCAATTTCATGAAAATATTACTTAGCAAATCATGTGCTTAGCAAAAATCAGATGGGAACCATCACAACTGATATACAAAGCATGGTATTTTGGCTGGTAACCTTTTTTTTGCTAAGAGAATATTTTGTTGTGCTTAGCATGAAATTCACAACTATTTGCATACAACAGAAGGGGTGTTGGGAAGGGGCGTGGCTTCAGGGATGAGGGGGAAGGGGGGGGGGCAGACTTACACATTCTGCATGCTGGAGAAGCTTTTGCTTGCCGGTCTTGGTGGGGGGTCCACCCGGTTGTGAGGGGGTAGCGAGTTGTGACGTCTGGAAAAAGAGGCAACAAAAACCAAACACACACACGATAGGATGGGGGTGGATTTTAGGGGTGCGGAAATGCTTTCAAGAAAGCTCTACTGGAAACGGCAAAATTTGTAGCTACATGTACAAGCGCTTGTAAAGGCAAGGGAATGGACCAATGAGATCTTGTCTTTGATGGACTGACTGCACTTGCTGTGTGCAATGTCCATCTGTGAGAAGATCTGATTGGGCTATTTTTTTTTGGCACAAGCTGAATTATGAATATGCATAAACCTGACAAGCCAACACAAGCATCTGTCTACCAGAAAGCAAATATGCCACCCACAATAAAAACTCCTTTGAACCCTTCCAAAACTTTCAGAAAGGACCATTTTTCCACACCCCAGTTCAAAATAAAAGTGGCATAAATAAAAGAACATCAAGTTTACAGTGTGAAATATCGCACCACCACACTTTGAATAAAAACCATGAACCAACTCAAAATTACCATGCATGACATTCAAACAGACAGACAGCAAAAGATTTTCCACAAAAGCTCATCACCACAGAATACATTTTTTAGATTCACACGAGCCAGCGACATGAAACAAATAAAACACTCCATAACATTGTCAAAAATATTTGAGAAAGAATTTAAGCACAAAGCAGTCTTGAAATCAAAGTTCAAAAATGGTTCACTACACTGGGCGTCTTTCTGGTTTTGATCAAAAACTTGTCTGACCTTTGAATCAGTTTCGTGTTAAAATCATGAAACCCAAATGCCAAACTCAAAGCTAGAACCCAATGGACCGATCCAGTAAGCCCCACCCACTGCGCACATGGGCAAATTAACACGTGCTCCTCTCCAATGCCACACTGCATTTTCCTGCCGCGCGCATCTTACGCGCGTGCACGCATGTCGGACTATTGTGCACGCATGTCGGACATAAATCACGGCTGTGATTCATCAGAATACCATGGGGCGGTGCTTACTAGATCGGTCCATTGTTGACCGAAGCACCTTCCATCCAAAAGTCAACCCAACTATTTTAAAGAGCTCTGTAACCCACTCACTTCTGCTTTTATACCATGACTTCGCTTTCTGAACGCCGCAACCAACCCTCCCAAATCTAACCGTGAACCAAATCCATTGCTTACCCATGAAATATGTTTACCACAAAACTTTCTGAAAGACATAGCAGAGGTTCTTAACTTACGGACAGCTGAGCTATGAAAGTGAATTGAGAGTGTCTATAGAGGGGTAGGGATAACCTGAAGAATTATCCAGACCCTCAACTCCACTTCATCCCTTTCTGATCTCTTACCGAAAAGCTCCATCATCCATTTCCACCACCAGCAAATTCCTTGCTGACTCCGGCTGCAGCAACTTGTACTTCAAATCCGAGATCTTCTCCGTCTCTCCGACCGGCGTCTGGTTGCGCTCGTCCAGCGCAGCCTTGAGCGGATTGATCTTGATCTGGTCGGCCGTCAGCTGACCGCCGACGAGCGTCTTGGCTGTCTGTTGGTTGTTTTGCTTCATGAGGTTGGCGTTGAAGGACGCGGCAGCCGGGACGGGCTGGATGTTCGGCCGGACATTGCGCGGGTTGGGCTGGATGGCGCAGGGTTCATGCTCTAGGCCTTTCAGCTTGGCTTGGGCTAGCTCCGCATCATCTGGGGTGGAGTACAAGAACATCATTTGTGCAATGACTGTTCGATCTCTTTGCGAGGAATATTTCAAACATTAAATTTGGGTCCCATATCAAGCTTAGGTTTTCAAAGTTGTTTTCTTTTTTAACTGCTTTCAAGAAGTTTGAAACAGCCACTACCTTAAGAAGAATTTTCAAGATTCTGTTTTTCGAGTCGAATCTGTTTTTTGAGTCTGCCCACAAGTAACAGGGCATTAGCAATGTCAAAGAAATGCCTTTGACAATTCATTTGAATAGCAAGTGACTTGAAACTGGAAAAATTATAATTGACTTGTGAGAACGTGACAACAATTCTTAACTAAGATTTAAAAAAAAAATAAGGCTGAACACCAAACAAAATTATTTAGCAATAGCTGTTTGCAAAAAAACGTAATACAGGTAAAGGCACAACAGTGTATATTGGGCTATTAAATAGAACTATATTTTAGAGGTAGTTTTTGCCCTTTAACTGGCGAAATGAAACAAGACAATGTAATCCTAGTAAAACTGGTCCCGCAGCATACACAATTCTACTCAATAGATTTAAAATGGAAGTCTTTTCATGCATCTGGTCTGCACAACGAGCTGGGTTTAGCCCATTCATTGGTTTTACGGGGTAATCCTATACAATAGCACTGCCCGACTCACAAGTGACAGTCAGTGAGTCAGTCAGTCAGTTAGGTACAAAGAGGACACTAGGCTGGCCCTCGGGGACCAGCACAATTTCCAAGAAGACTTAAGAAACTTACTCAGGCCTGGCCCCGGCGACAGAGGGTCCACCATGTCATCGTCCTCGACCACCGTCACTCCTAGCATGTCCGGCCTGGCCGAGAGGGGTACCATCTCCGCCGTAGCGCCGGTGTCCACATTGGTCTCGACGAGGTTCGTGGGGTCTGTCGGTCCGGCCGGTCCGGCCGGTGCAGCGGGACTAGTGGGGTTCATGTAGGGTGTCGGGAAAAAGGGCGTGACGTCTGCCCTGACTGTCATATTCTGGGGCATCGCGGTGGATGCATGGCTTGGCAGGGTGCTGGCATTACTGATGTCAAACCTGCGGAAAAAACATTCAGAACATTAATGTTCACAGTTACAAAACATATTTGAAGTAACTGAAGCGTTGCAGAATGATTTTCTGTGGGCAGGACACGTCTTCCCACCTGGCAGTACCTGTGAGGGTAGAGACGGTAATTGTGTTTGAAATATTGCATTAATTTGCAAATATCAAATGGTGTATCTGCCAACTTTTCCTGAAATGTTCCACAGTATACTGTACACCAAAAGTAACTTCTAACCAAAAGTAACTTCTAACCAAAAGTAACTTCTAACCAAAAGTAACTTCTAACCAAAAGTAACTTCTGACCAATGAAACGTAAGTGAAGTATTACCGTGCTGCGTGATTGGCTGCTGCAGCATGAGCAGCTGCATTGGCCGCACTCTCTTGTAGATGGGTCGCTGTTGGAGGGAAAAAAAAGGACGGACAAATTAATAAGGAAATCATTAAACAGAGACAAGGAACCATACTTCAAATTTCTTCAGGATTAAAACTACTTCTATTTTCATGTTTCGTAATTTCCCTCTTACTTTGCTATTGATAACTCTTCAACTTTTTACCATTCCACCATTTTTGCTAAAGTTTCCATATTATAATTCCATAAGTTTTCCCTTACTTTGTCAGTATCATCTCCCAATACTTATCTACACAATGTGTCCCCCTTTTCTATGACATTTCCGTTATATCTGATAGCTTTCCCTACTTTTCCAAAGATTTGTTCCCTTATTTCCAGATTTTACGAAATGGATTTATGGTTCAAATACCTTTCCGTACATTTTCCCAATGCTTCCCAACACTTAAAATTTGTGGGTTACACTTCATGCTTCAATTTTGTGTGACCGCGGTAAGTAAACCAATTCCACACACAACTGTCAAAGGAAATTTTCTTTAAATTCCAAAATATGAAAATCCGAGACTACTGAAATAAAATTGCTGTTGAAATTTCGGAAAGTTCTTCAGGTTCTTGAACTCTGACCTCTCTTCTGGGCGTAGGATGGACGGCGAGAAAACCTCTGGCTCGGTCGTCTCTCGATCATCATGGACCGTCGGGATCGGTTCGTCTTGGCCGACTGGAATTCCGTCCTTCCACTGTTTGATAAATCAATACAACCAATCTAGTTACGAAACTGTTGCCGCATTGTACTTCTCGTAACTACGCACAGAGTCTTGTTGATCTACACCTTTACTTGGGTCTGATTTTCAAAACCAGGTTAGCAAGAAAAGTGCTTAGAAAATGTAAACGCGCTTACCTGAAATCAGCCGAGTACCAGTCACAAGTCAAACATATTGCATGGCATTTTAGCTGGTAACCTGAATTTGCTAACCAAATTTTTCTGTACTTGGCAAAATTTTGCGCAAAGCACTTTCATGAAACTTAGGCCGTGTCCGAATGGTTTGCTATGTCCAGGAATAACACACGCGCCTATGGAATCCACTGGCTAGTGGCTACAGCCACTACCCATAGACTTGTGCATTATTGCTAGCCGTAGCCGAGTGATTCAGACAAGGCTTTCGCCTCTGCCCTTTGACCTTTCACTGACCTGTATCTGAACCTTGACCCCATGCGTATAAACCCTTGTTTCTCGGTCTGGTGCTTGACGGGTCCGCGTAGTCGGAAGAAGGCGTGGTGTTCCACTGCGCATTTCCACAGGTGCTTACACGCTTTGTTGGTGTTGAGACGGAATACAAAGTTGTGCTGCTGCTCATTCCCCTGAAAAAGGAGGGGGAAAAAATGTCACATAAAAGTCGTCCTCTACTTCTTTGTCATTGTTAGCGTGATTAATGTCATCATCTCAACCTCTGTCATCTGTGTCACCGTCATTGTCATCCACATCTTTGTCATTGTCAGTAGCAACATGACTGGTAGTGTTTTTTACTGGTAGTATGACAACTAGGTACCCTATTGAGGTAAAAGAAGCCTAACACAAAAATTCAAATCCTGGAAGTTGTCTGACAGCTTTGATGTAGTTGGTATCTCATTCTCATCATTACAAAATTGTCATTTTCATCCAGAACCCACCCTATCATCGTCCTCATTCACCGCTAGGTGTAGTTTCTTGCCTCGGAAGTCCAGCTTGGTGACCTTCGGCCAGAAGAACAGACCAATCTTCTGTGACCCCTCAAAGACCAAGATGCCGGTCGGCGTGAGACCCAGGGAGTACGACTGTCCATCTTTACCCTTTCCATCAAGAAAACAATAATACTAATCAGTAACAAACACTTCTTTTTCGTGTGGCAGCTTTGATAATGGTACCTCAGATTCCCCACACTTTTAATTTGCTGCATTGTAAAGGTGGCATAAAAGTACAAAACATTTTGTGAAAAACCATGGAGATTTTTGAAACTTAGATTTGGTTTAGACTGTGGCTTCAATTCCTGGTTTCAGAAACACATGGGTTTAAATTTTCTTAGGAACACATTTTTATTGAAAAGTGTACTTCTTTAAATGTTTACACTTTTTAATGCTTTTCCGGACAACCAAGGGCACTGTTGCTGTGATGTCATATCGGGAAGATACTGTTCAGTTTAGGGGTATTCTGTTCAAATTGTGAACCCAAAAATGTGTTCATTAAAAACATTTGTGAGACACATTTGCACATTGTCTTACTGCCATGTACTGACACAACATCGGAATCACAAAAGAAAAGAAAATTTACAACAGCAAAATATCCACTTTTGGTGCTGAAACAGCTGTAACATTAAGGTTTCTGCCTGAAATGACATCACACATTTGCTCATGAATATGGAAATTCTCAATAGCATAAAACCCCAAAAGGCACCAAAATACCCTTGAAAATGGCCAAACGAGAATTGAAAATCAGGTTAAATGGGACACAAAGGTGCATTTTCAAGGATTGCATTTAAAGAAATACTTTACATGGGCCCTTTAAAAGTACAAACCAAACAGGAATCATCCGAACTTTGACCTCATATTATAGGATTTGATGTTTCCTGAAGTAGAACATGGACCAACATTGAGCCCGAATCCCCTGAAGCCGAAGCTGGTGATTGAACCACAGTTTCAAAAACACTCATGGACAAGATAATTTTGGCCAAGCGATATCTCAAGTGTGATGGTGTCTTACCATGACGTGGTGCATGTCCACACCGTACATCTCCAGCCATTTGGCTTTGTTCAAGTAGTTCAGCTCCGCCTGTCCTGGCGTCTGGCCCCTGATGAGACAAATAAAGGATCACAATGAGTGAGTCCCCTTGATTTGCATTGCAAACTTCTAGGCAATATCAACACTTTTTGCTAAATTACAATACAAAATGTGTCTTCATTATACAAAAGAAATACAACCCATAGCAGTTTGCAGTATAAAACTGTTAACCCTCCTACTGTTTGAACAGTCACAGACAGTCAAAAATTCCATCCACTTCCCTGCCATGACTTTGTCACCGGCCAAGAAACCAACAGTCAGATCATATTTCACACAAACACACTGACTAGTCAAATTCGGTCAACAGACAAAAGCAGGCAAATCCCAACTTACCTCATTTCCTTGAATTTGTCGACTATTTCCACCTCCATCTCTTCAGTTTGGAAGGGGACAAATCTGAACTCAGAGACCAGCTCTGCTGTGTGCTCTGCTGGCTCATAGTCACCCAGCTCGGCTGTACAAAAATAACAAAACACCACCACTTTTGTTAAAAATTTGAGAAATAAACTATTGACAGAAATGCATACATTTGTGTATTTATCATGCTTACACGTATCTCTCACGGGCAATGAATAATTTTTAAAAAGTTTTGAAATTGAGAATAAGTGAATAATAGCTTGATGATGCTGTTATAAAAGTGGAGTTTTAAACCAATTTATGGGCCTAATCGATGATAAAGCCCAAAGTCCAAACATATTTTGGATTTTCTAGTGTTTGGGGGACAAAAGTCCGGATTTTTTGGGGGTGGGATTTTTTTTTTAAGTTGGTGTCTTTGTTCTTACATTGTAGGCTCAAGGCTGCAAGGTCGATGGCTGTTGTTACTGGCGGCTCTAACTTCCCCAGCTGGACGTCTTGCTTCAGTTGTAGAAAAAATAGATATCTGTTGCAGAAAAACCAGAGGTCAAAACAGTTTTAATATCATGTGTCCTTACCCTGCCTGTAAAAAGTCTTATATCACATGCCAAAAACTGGAAAAAATTAATGAACAACACAGAAGTTTTAAAGGTACAAGTCGTATACAACATTTGCAAACATCAAAAAACCAAAACTACCAAATTATTATGAAATACCTTTACTTTATTTGACTGTAAGTGAATAATAGTCTCAAGCATTCTGTGAAATCATGGCACCTGGTAAGCAGTCATTTTCAAGAAAAGTGGAATTTTTGTATCAATTCCAATGATGGGTGGCTGACCATCACTGGAAAAAAACTTAGTTTTTTTCTTAAATACTGCCCCCAATTTACCAAAGTTACATGTAGCTAGTGCACATTTTGCTTGCGATCGGTTACACATCCGTGACCTGGTAAATGCTAGCTAGTCTGGTGCTAGCTAGTCTGGTTCCCTGACAGGACAATTCTCTGACATCTATAAATTGCTCCGTTTCGTCAGAAGTAGGGTCAGGGAACCGACTACAGGAGCATGATTGTTTTTCTTGTTTTTTTCAGCATCCATGAACACAAAACTTAAAACAGGTCAGTGTAACAATATTTGCTGAAAACATACTAACCCCCAAATCCATCCGTTTGTGAAAATTACAGCAAAAGCAAATATTGTATATTACCTTTAACTCATCACATGTCATCCTTTACTCTAGATATTCAAAGGAGCTGTTATAAAAAACATTCCTTGATCATTGTTCAACCCCTGCTTACTTGTGACTGGACTTGCGATTTGGCTTGTTATTCGACTTGACTTCCAAGCTTGCAAAAAATATGACTTGACTTCCAAGCTTGCAAAAAATAATGACATGGTCCTCGATAAGAAATGAATTTTGTCAAACTTACTTTGTGAGTTCTTCGTGTAGGTTGTTGGGCTCGGACGAATAAAACTTGACTTGGAATTTCAGCACGTACGGTGAACCTTCTGCAAGCAATATGTGAAGAAAAACAGAAATTCACACTTTCGGTTCACTAGCACAAACCGCTTTTCTAATGTCTTTGAAGTGTCTCCATTAGGCCAAAAAAAAAAAGTCTCCGGTTTCTGGTATGGAGCTTGTCCAAAAAGTGGTGCGGCGACGCTTTTTTTTTTTTTTTTTACCCGACTTTTTTGCTTCAAATTTGCTTCAAATGTCGGCTGATGACTGCAAATGGTGCCCGACTAAACTTAGTGCAAATATATGGGAGTCCAGAGAGGCCACATAAAGCTTATTCTCGATCATAACCCCATCTAAAAACACGTTGAAATTGCGCAGCAGCAGAATTCCAGTCAAACCAGTGAGTTTGGCGGTTTTGAGACATCATCTTTCATTGAAAAAAAAACTTTTTCATTTTGCCGACGCGCATGGCTACGGCGACGCGCGCGCATACCAGAAACCGGAGACTTTTTTTTTGTGCCTTATTATAAGCTTTAAATTAAAACAACGTTTATTACCAACGTTTGAAACCCGTGGGCGGGTCCATCCCACACACACAAAACAAACCAACCCACACATATCCTCATCAGACCCTTAAGGTCAAAGGTCACGTGTACTTAAACCTACAAACCCTGACCCAAAACTTGACCTGCCCGGCAGACACAGTTTACTACATGTAGCAAACATCTCTAAATCAAAAAAAAGTCCTAGTATATCCAGAGGGCCAAGAAGCAGTTTAGATAAACTGCCACAAACAATGATCCAGTATTCTCTGGGATAAATCTGCTGTTCCTGTCAATTTTGTTTTAATCATCACGGATTTACACTAGGGATTTGCTGCGTGGGCGTGGGCATAGGCCAACAAAATTGCAGACAGATTTTTTTCTCTGATGTGCTAAATGGACGAGAAGTGATCTTACAGGCACACTCTCACAATAAGCCCTTTTCAAAATAAAATTTTTTTCCCCCAAGGAAGTTGGAGTAAACACGGAAAGGTTGTGACCCATTATAGATAATGTGAAGCTGGCATAATCGGGTAGGGAATTGAGCCAAAGTTTGAAGAAAAAAAAGATGCTTAGAACATTATAGTAGAAGGTGAAGTTCAACAAATGGGACATATAATTATGTGGATAATGTATGTTCACAATACTTACGTTTTAATTGTTTCTTTAGCGTTTTAGTTGGGTCCAGCCAATGCTGTAAAACAAAATAAAACAAAATAGATGATTAACCCTAACCGCGTCAGTGATTTACTAGGAACCTTCCTCACTCTTGCAAAATCCAACACCATATTGTAAACTCTACACCCAATCTGTGTGCCTGATTATTGGTGGTATGCCTGACCCCATGTAAAGCATAATCAGTTTACTAGTGCAGTACTCACTCCAAGTTCCAACAGATTCCAACAAAACTTGCAGTTGGATTTTGAAGGGTTGGGTTGGTTAGGGTTAATGCAGAAACTCAACCATTTTTTTTATAGACCTTGCAATGTGAACTCATACCCACATGAAAAAAACCTGTGGAGTACATTTTGTATTTCCCTGCGATAATGTTTTACCTCTGAACGGTGTGTGGGTGTTTCTGGACTCAAAAAAACCAGCTGCAAATTAAGCCAGGTAATGACACATTTATGACTCAATAGAATACATCAAATACATGTATGTGTAATCTGCTACACATGTACATGTACATGTAGATGTGCAGTACATGTACAGGTAGGAAATAATGTACATGTACATGTATATTTGTAAACTTAACAGCAAACGCACCGTTTTCATTTTTTCTATAGCATTTCTTTTGCAATATTGACATGTAGGCCTACGGTATTTACATGTGTTACACTTTGGACACTTGTAGATTTGTGAAAATGGCAAAAGAAACTCTCATTTGAAGTTTATAGGCGCACACATGCATAACATTAAATTCTCGAATATTCAGTCTACATTATGGTGTACAATGTAATGCACATTAACATTGAAATGCTTTCCAGGAATGTTTTCATAACAGGATGTTTAAACTAAAATGACATTTAGGGTCAAGAAGTAATACTGTGGGTCAGAGGTCACCAGGCTTGAGCCGAGGATGAGAGGCACGACGACAGACAAACAGAAACATGAACTGCAAAGGGTTAGAGACAGACAAACAGAAACATGAACTGCAAAGGGTTAGAGCCTCAACAACGACTGTCTTAAACCCCAAACTGAATTGGACAAGACATTTGGAAGGGATATTATAATACTTGAAATGCGCCACGTTGATTTTCAGTTAATACTCATATATTTTCCAAATTGACTTGAAAAAAAAACCCACCAATATGGCGACGGATTAGAGAACGGTTAGAAATAGGGGAAAAAACTGTAAGACACGTAAATTTTGGTGATTGACCAAAAAACAGCAGTGATGTGCCCTCACCTAATGCCCAGATTTTCAACTCTAGAGGGCGCAATTGCGCTCACATAACCCATACCAATATTGACCAGGGGTGGATTGTCTTCAGTCAATGCTGCTTAGCCTAATAACACCAGCTTTACATATTTGTCATTCCATATCTCCATTTAAACCACAAGTGATCTATGAGCTGTGTAATGCATTTAGCCTTCGGTATCAAAATACCTGGGCCATTTGATTGACACTCCCAATTTGTTTATAGATATGTTTTATTACATGGATGCTAACGTGTCGTCCATTTTTTTCTGTCAAAGATTATATTATGACTTTGCAGCTTTGAATTTTTCAACTGGTTCCTGGTACATGTACTGTACATTGCGAAACATGAATTTTCCAGAATTACGTCTCGACTCCACCAACAGAGGAATGAGGGAAAAACAACCCAAATTTAATTGGCTTTGGTGAAAAGATTAAATTGGGTGTCACCCAGCCTGACAAACATTCAAATTGTGTGTTATAATTTTAATTACTGCAAATCAATTGTTTGTATAATTTCTTTTTAATTAACTAATTAAAGTCAACAGATCTATAAAAAGTTCATGTTTTGTACTGTTGAGATTAAAGCAATTAAAAAATCCTGAAAACTCTTAAATGTACCAGTATCCCTACAAATGTATGTGCAAAAAAACTCCCACGCCTGTCAAATGATGACGTACATGTACATGTAGAGAGAAACTGATCAGGTCCCTTGATAAATTCAAATACATCCTGTAATGGGACAATACAGGAAAACGATGGCCCCGCACAGTGAGTTAGGTTTTAAAAAACCCACATTTTCCCCCACTCTACTAGTCTCATTTCCTGCACAGCGGAAGTCCACATGTGAGCCATCACAACAAATCTTCAATTGTTCCCAATCCCAGTCCTATCTTATTCTGGTTGTACCCCACTCCCCCCCCCCTACCACATCTCCACTCTACAATAGAGGTCATCCCATACATTTTCAAACTGACATCAGACAAATAAATCTTTTCCAGCCGAAGATACTCAGCCAATCTTTTACAGCTTGCAATTCCTCAAGAAATTATGACACATGGTGATGTCACAACTTCTGTCTTTCTTTCTCAGTTTTCCTTTAAACTTCCTTTTAGCCTTTAACCCTGAGTGGTTTCTACATGGCCTCCATAAAGAAATAAAGCAGGTCCTCAAAGGAAGGACATTTTGGCAATAGTACAGATTTGAATGGAAAAGATCAGTTAACCTGAGAGTTTGTTCAGATATTGGTTCCACAGCTCAGCACAATGATGTTTATTTTGCGGCTTCATCCAAATTTCTTGGCTAAAGCCGGACGTTCAGAAACGTTTCAACTTGAAGTGGATTAAGTCACTAAAGCATGTCTAACAGCAAGCCATCACCAAATACTTTGGATACAGCCTAGTCTAGTATGTTTACAGAAACTGACCAGGAATGTTCTCTCAAATGGACAAAGGATGCTTTTAACCCTAACCCCCTAGGCCCTTGTTGCTAACAACCATCCTCAATCCTCCAAAATCCTCCAAAATTTTCCAAAATTTTGCAACTCCGCCTAAATTTTTCAAAATTGTCAGACAGTCCTGCCTCAAAATGCATTCATCCTCAATCCTCCAAAATCCTCCTCATCCCAAAACTTTGCACTCGTGTTTAAATGAAGGATAACCAACGCCAAATCCTTCAAAATCATCAGACAGTCCTGCCTCAAAATGCATTCATTCTCAATCCTCCAAAATCCTCTTGTGCTTCAATCACCATTCATCATCAATCCTCCAAAATCCTCATGTGCTTCAATCACCATTCATCCTCAATCCTCCAGAATCCTCATTTGATTCAATCACCATTCATCCTCAATCCTCTAGAATCCTCCAAAACCGCCAGGAGGATTTTGGAGGAGTGAGGTGGGTTAGGGTTAAGGGACTTAAAAATCACCGGAAAAAGGTCAGAAATCAGAGGAGCTCTATGATCAAAATGAAAAGAAAGTTCTTCTAAAAGTTCTTTAAATTGACAGCACTTCTAATAAATGTCCCATTAGGACGATGGATAATCTGTACATTGTGTACATACCGAGATGTTTTGGTGGTCTTGGAAACTCAACCCAAAGTAGTCCTTTTCCACCACGTCCAGTGTGTAGAAAACCTGGTTGTATAACTCCTCAGCCTTGGCGCTTTTCTACAAGAAGAGAAGCATCAATATATACTATTACATAAACACATCAAATCATGAATCATGTATGGATGTACAATGTATACAATGTCAGGTAATTCTGATAGAAGTTCTTTTAACACTGCAACAGTTGTATGAACAGTTTGAGAACCGAAGTTATTTTTAATGTGACAAGTATATTAAAAGGCAAACAAAGAAAAGATACCTGTTTTCCACTTACTCAATCCAACCTAGAAAATCATGCAGAACCTAAATCTGTTTAATAAAAAATAAAAAAACCAAAACTTATGGTGCCGTCATGCCGTAGTTTTTGCTAACATCATTCTGCTCCTTTTTTCATTTATTTTAATTTTTTGTTGTTGTTGTTGTTGATGATGTGATGTAATGGCACGTTCACCTTGCAATTTTTATTTTATCATTCATAGTCAGTGAAGTCTATAAACAGCTCAGCAAACGCAGAATGAACAGTTCATTCACATGTTAACTTTAACAAATGTATGCCCCCCCCCCAAAAAAAATAATAATCTCCCATTATTAGACCCTATTTTTGTCAATGAAATAAGAAACACAACTTTTGTTCTTGGCCTAAACTGGATAAAACTACATGTACTCATTTAAAGATGTCACTTGTAACCCCACACAAACAAATTGATCACAATATGGCCAAAACTACTTGTACATTGTATGGGTTTCATTCCAAACTGAATCCTTGCATTTGATCCATCGGCTATCCTTCAATATTGAAGCAGCTGTGCAACTGAAACTTCTGGTTTACGTTTCACTACCAGTATCAGTGTTCCATTAATTGGAAAAAAAATCAAGGACTGAAACTGATACACATTACAGGCATGAATGGTGTACACAATTTATGTACATTGTGTAATATGAAGCATGTTCTATAGAAAGGTTAATCGTGATAATTAGAATTTTGCAAACGACTCTTATTAACACTCAATCCAGGGTCCGTTTACTGGGGCTAATGATGTACGGTACATACAATGTATAATCTGTGCATAAATTGAATTGCTATTTCAGCACCCCCCAAAAGGGGGGAGGGGGGGGGGGGAACGAGGAAGCGTTTATACCTGTCAATGTACATGTACATGTATGTATGTGTACATGTACATGATTTTCATGTACCAAAATATTATAAGCAATGTCCTCATGTACCAAGATATTATAAGCAATGTCCATGGCATTTTTTTGCGTTTTAACTGGTAACAAGATTTGTGTTTGCTTTTGTTTTTTTTCCACACAAATTCTGTTCTTAATTGCTAAAAGTTTGCGTTTCAAGAGCTCAACACACACGCAACTTTTGTGTCTCGAGATCTGGACTTTCCCAACCCAACCCTACAAACCCCAAAAGCAATTCTCATAGTTTGATGCCTCAAAGTACATGTAAAGGCTCTTCATTCACTGGCAAATATGAAGACAAAGCTTCTTTTTTTTTGCTTAAATGTCTGGCTTTTGAAACTCAGCTGGCTGTCAGACTGCCTGAAACAGCCTCAAGGATAAGTTCTTACAATCCCTTGCAATAATATGACCCTGTTACACCCTGGACGACTGGGTGTACACCTCCATTGCTGTCAGGTGCAGGCACATTTTGTCCCACTCCCAGTGTGGGTCACCCTCATTGCCAAAGGGTCACCGTCACACACAAGGTGTTTCTTATAAATACATCTGTACATAAACCACCGTACTTGTGCAATTGTGTACATGTATGGCAGAGTTTTTCCCGAGAACTGGGCAGCTAAATCTTGTGGTGCATGGGTAATGCGGTCTATCAGAAAGTTTTCTCGGCAGTTTGTACACAATAGCGAACCAAAGAAGAGTGTCTGCCACGATATGAAAAATTTGTTTGGGTGATAAAGTGTGCGTAAATTCCTGGACACATACGGAAATGTACTGTATGGTTAATTATTTTCTGTGAGGTTCACAGTTTTCCATAATGGTGCACTTTTTCTACAATGTTGAGGGAATTGTCAATTTTTCCATGCGGCATGGGTGGAGCACCACCCATATACATTTATAAGTATTTTGAGTGTTTTCATGACTTCGGTTGGCTGGAGTGACGTCACTGCACGTTCCCACCAAAACCAAACAAGGAGGGCGCTAGCGTGTGCGCTTTTGTACGACGCGGTACGGTGATGAGAAACTGATGAAAAGAGTCTACAAACACGTACAAGTTTAACGTTGCTTTAGAGTTTATTTTCCTGATAAACGTCGGTCAGCATCACATATGGAATTCCTGAACCCCCCCCCCCCCCCGACCAATAGATAAGGACACATAGAGTATGTAGGCGTGAAATAAGCTTCTATAACGAGGTAAAACATAACAAAACTCTGGTCAAAATTTTGGGTGGTCTTATGTAGAGAATTGTCATCCTGGACGTCAGTCGTAATGCAATGAAGACTTCATCCAACCTGGGCTAACATACATGTATGACAATGTGTACAGTGCATAATGGTTTACATTCATGTTCAACATGTACATGTACATGTACATACTGTTGCAAGGCATTTAATACAGGTGCCAGAAGTTCACGGCTCCCGGAATGCAAAGGAGTCACAGGTTTGAAACGAAACACACCCACGTCGCCCTGCATGCTACGTGTACTTGGCCTACATTCAACAGTCTGATACCGGTACTACACTATAAACATACAGACATCTACAAGACACTGCAGGGTGTGGGGCACCAGTTGCGTCACGGTATCTCTCCTTGACATATAAATGGGTCACTATCACAAATACCTCCCAGTACATGTACAGGTACATGAAATTTGTGTAAACTATGGACCTTTCAAAATGTCATAAATGTGACTAGTGTATCACACAGAGGCCTATTTTAACATCATTAGCATTTGATTATGATCTCACAAACATGTTACATGTTACTTCATTCATTTCAATGTCTTATATAAACAACACTGCAGGTGATTATTGTACAGTGGTTTTCCAGCAGTACTTCTAATGTCTGCGAGAATGTTATCAATAAAGATTCTTAAATAAACAGTGAAGTTCGTGTATAGACATCCAGCCATTGTACTAAATACAGACACACTCATGGGCAGAGTGTGCACAGGCAATTGGGTGGGGCTGGCTGTTAAATAAAATAATTCATAATACCACAGAATTGGGGCCTACATATTCTGAACGATAAAAGCTTCAACTTCCAGCAAACGCTAGTTTAGGTTTAATGTCCACATGTGTACCTGTGCTTCTTTTTCTCTATTCTATTTTGAACCAAAAAAACCCCAAACAATTGAATGAATTTTGGCCGACAAATGATTCATAATATTACAGACTTGAATGTATTCTCTGAAACGCCAGTTTCGTTTTTTTTATGAGTGTGTTTTTATTGTGTTCACGTTTGCCTACATGTATGACAGATCTAGGTATGCATCAGTGTGCTTTCATTATGAGTGATTTTTGACCGCAAAACGCTGACAGAATTTAGGTCACGCAACTCATGTTATTGTTTTGAATGAGGAAACTTTACTCTGAATCTTATGTACCATTTGTTCTTCAGTGCATGCACTTGTTCAAGAAATCAGATCTGATGTGCATGTATGCTGTTTTCAAATTTGCCAAAGAACAAAATCGTTTTTCACAAAGTGCGACCCTGGAGTCCACAAAACAAGACATTTCACAAACATGACAAAATGAAACAGGGTGGTAAAGATCCAAAACAAGGCCTCCAAAAACTATGCAAAACAGACTTGGAGTTTGATCAGAAATGTCATTACACGTATGTCAATTCCAACCCACAAAACACACATACTTTTTGCCAAAGAACAAAATTGTTTTTCACAAAGTGTGACCCCGGAGTCCACAAAACAAGAAATTTCACAAACATGACAAAATGAAACAGGGTGGTAAAGATCCAAAACAAGGCCTCCAAAAACTATGCAAAAACAGACATGAAGTTTGATCAGAATACATGTGGGTCATTCTATAAATTTGGGGTCCAAAGTGTGACATTTTTCCCATCCCTGTTACCTTGGTACTTTGTAATTTGCCATTCAAGCATCATTAAAAGTGACTTCAAATGATTGTTTATTTGTTGGGTAGGTAGTTTGCTATTCATAATCACTCTTGGAGGATGACTGCATTAAGGAGTGCATCAGAATTATAAAATCATAGATGTCAGATGTAACAGGGACGGGGAAAAAAGTGGACCCCAAATTTATAGAATGACCCACGTCAATTATGTCAATTCCAACCAACAAATAACACATACTTTTAATGAATGTACTTTTACACACGTGTACATGTACACCCAGGCTGTTAATTTCCTTCAACTACCATACATGTATGCGTAATTAATTGTGTGTACATTAGGCCTATAGTCTATACATGTACTTGTTGTGTGCTTAAAAGTGTAGTGTGACAGTGGGTGGCCCTGTTTGCAATGCACTCACTGAAATCACACATAGCCCAATATCTATTGAAACTCATTCAATTGAAGAGGACGCAGACGTAAGGTGACATCTCCACAACACAATATGGTCGACTCAATTTAATATGTACATGTACATGTATAGGGCTTACCCATACAATTCATGTACATTCTTTTTTATTATTAGCTATACAAAAAAGGAGACACAAAAAATGCATGCTGTGCATGTTGTAGGCATATGGCTAACTGTGCTACAGACTACATGTATGTATGTATCTTATTGATTTGGTACATGTACATGGGACAGAATCTATATAACTGGTCGACCAACCACAGGGCTTGTTACTTACAAAGAACTCCATGGGATGTGTCATGCCACTGGAATGCAGACACACTTTAATCGTGTTTATTGACGTTGTTCAATTATGTTGACTAACTGTGTTCAATTATGATGACAACATGCATACTGGAAATTTCTGCTACATATGTATGTCCAACAACATTCGAGTATTGATTATTTGATTTGTTCTTTGAAATAAAAAAAAAAAAAGTAAATAAATGTACCGGTACATACAAAAAATTATACATGTACAATGTATTTGTACATAATGCACAACATTTCACTTGCACATTTAATTATGATATGAAAGACTAGGTATTTTCATATATTTACAGTACTCTTATGTACCAAAGAAATTTAAAGAAACGTTTAATTATGATATGAAAGACTAGGTATACATGAAAGACTAGGTATTTTCATTTTTGATATGAAAGACTAGGTATTTTCATATATTTAAAGTACTCTTATGTACCAAAGAAATTCACTTTTTAAAAATGTTTTGGAAAATAGATCAATTTTTTGATCAATTGATATTTTGTTCATAGCGGACTTAATTTTATTTGACATACATGTATAGCTTGCCTTAGCACTGGTCAGCTTTGTTGCTGGTATTCTGTAACATTTACATATGTACATTTGACATTTCTCTGACATGTGTACTGTACTGGTGACCTTCACAATTCAATTTGTAAATAAACCGCCAATTCCACGACCAGCATATGTCCAAAGGAAAACGTTAATCTAAATCTTTCTTTTTAATGCAATAACAGTTCACCATGACTAATTCATGAATTCATACTAAATCACAATAGGCTTCTCAATGGATGAAATCAATGATCTCGTTCTTGACCAAACTGACCGATTATCCTTGATTTGTCATTGGTCCAATGAGCGTCAGGGTCATTCTATTTTTTTTTAAGGTCAAACTTAATCTCCTTTCCATCTGTATCATTTCTTGAGAAAAAAATCTTTTGAGGGGATTAAATCAATGTCAAATTAAACTACATAAACACACCTTGTTTCCCTTTTTTGAATGTCTTTTCAAGATGTCCCAAAACTTTTTCTTGTCTCCATGTTACTGATTTCTATCCATCAAATTCTAGTTTCTATGGATATGAATTGAAGAAACGCTTTCACAAAATTTCCTTTAAACCATTTTTTCCCTACAAATCTTTCTGCAAAAGACCACAATTTCAGCTCAAGTATGTATCAATTAAAAAGAATTCACAAAAAAAAAATCACGTTCAAAGTACTTCTATTTCTAGTAGTTCTAGGCTACTCCAAGTAACTTGGATCCTATTTGTCGCCTTTTTTTAACAATGGGACATGATCTGGTGATATCGCGAGACCATGTCCCAATGTTAAAAAAAGGTGATATGTCCCAATGTTTTAAAAAAAAAGTGATAAGTTATTAAGTAGGGTCCAAGTTTAATACTCGGACTACTTCTAGGCCTGCTTCAGTATGCATAAGTTTGTAAACATGCTGTTAATGTTATACCAGTTCATGTTATATAAACACACAAAAACCTAAATTTCCCACATCAATAAATTTTTGAGTTTTATCACAAAAGACTTGCCATGATTGTTGAACATTAATGAGCTAAGTGTTAGCTTTTACTTAATTAATTTAAGTCGAACCCAATCATAGACAATAAAGTCACAATTAGTTGTGACAACAATAGTTCAAATCCATTTTAACAAATATAAACACCCACTGTGGCATGGTTTGGTTTTGAAAAAGGACAACATCTTTGACAAAATGACAAATGAAACACGAACTTTACATGCTTTACTAGTTTTGTAATTGTATCAGAATAATTAGCCTATAAATTAAACATTTTGATAGCCCGAGAAAGTATAGTTCAAGTACTCACTTTTACTTCATAAACCTTGTCGGTGCCATCCAAAAACAAGACTTTGCAGACGAAGATGTGTTTGTGCTTGGCTGCCGGGACGTGCACTTCGGTCCCCCCGACGCCCCGCGCTCCGGCCCCCGTGTGATCAGCCCGACGATATCGACGGGAAAATCTCCGAGACAAAAAACGCATCATTTTGACAACCGCTTAGTTTCTCCGTTGGGTCACTACTTTCCAATCTCTGAACAAAGTTAACGAGACTTGTGGAACACCTGAACCGTCTCCTTGCGACTTTCACGGCTCATGTTTCTGTAAAGTAAGAAAATACGAGCGATATTCTTCCGGTTTCAGAGGCAATCTTTGAAATGAACGAGCAGATGAATTTTCCTACGCAGCATAAACTAATACTGGTTCCCATCCCACTAGTAGATTGACGAAGAGAAATGTACAAGCGTGTTGGTAACCAGCGAAATATAGGTCTCGAGTGAGAATTCGCGAGACTTTACGGGATTTGATTCAAGATGGCTGCGCCCAACGCTGCATGAATTTGATATTGGGGTAGGCCTACTAAAAGTACTAGTACTACAGTAACTTGCTAGATTTTGTGTGGTCTTTGAGCTTCATTGATTGTTAAATTCCCTTCAACTTACAATTATTTTGATTGTTTTAAAGGCTTTGACTTTAAAGAGCTTCGATTATCGTCCACCTTCGACCTTGTTTTACATGTTTTATCTACTGTTGTGATCACTCACTCAGCAGCTCAATATCATCCTCATTGGAGGGCGCCCTCAGGGTGTGTAGACAAGTTCTATTTATTATTTCAGTGACATAAACAATGACACTACAAAGTACATGGTGTCTACTATTACTGATGAGTATCGTAGAACAAACAATTGATAGGCACATAAGTCAGGGAAGTAATTCCAGCTCTATGAATCTCCCATGTCATGAGCCTAGTGAGCTGGATATTTCAAGCTATAGGGGCCTATCAAAGTGTTGAATTAAAGAGTTGATTTTTTTTCCTGCAGACTGTAAAAGCTTTGATATTTGAGACTGAAGTGTTGGCACGTTGACAGGGAGGACTTTGAGGAAGATGGTTTTTCAAAGATTCTTACAATTCGTCCGGAGGCCAAGGAACGCAGTTCTGGTCAGTGGCTTGGTGGCAACAGGTGTATTCTGCGTCAAGGCAACTCCCCACATCTTCCCTGCCAAAGCCTACCGACCCCTCGTTGAGGCCTACAAAGGAGGTCATAAGATTCCCCCGACTGACTCCCAACAGAGCGAATTCCAAAACGTGTGTCAAGACATTGGCGTCGACCCGGGGTCATACGATGTCTTTGTGACAAGCCGGTGGGAAATCAGGAGTCGTGGTTTGCCATGGCTTCCAAATGGTGTCCAGTTCGGGGTACCAGCCATTCTGAAGGATGACCCGGACCTGTCAGCCAGGCGCTTCGCCAACCCTATCAAGACGACTGCCGACACGGAGGAGGGGCGGGATTTCAGGAATTCCCTGAGCTTGAGTGAGAGCGCACGAAAGTTCACCCTCGCGAGAGAGGTCGTCAAAATCAAACGCAATACCACCGCGTCGTCGGTCGCAATCGCCCCTATAATCACCCTGGCCAACTTTGCAGGCGTCTTCGCAGCTCAAGTCTTTCTCCCGCTGCCGCTGTATGCAAACGTTGCCGTGGTTGGTACATGTTTTGTCGTGATCTACCAGTTTCTGATGGGAGTTGTCAACGAGAGAGAGGACTTGATAGCAGACGACAAGGCGGCAAAACTTGGGGAGGATTATATCAGGGGTGGTTTGGAATTCTATGAGAAAACTATTCAAAAGAACATTGCACTGCGCAAAATCATGGGGAAGAGAGGAGAACAGATGTATACCTATTATGGGAACGAGGTACCAGGCTGGATTTACTCCTCGGGGGCCAGTAATACTCAGAAACGCGACAAGTTGAAGAGAAGTTTGGAAGAAATTGAGAAAAAGGGGACCTCAAGCTGAGAGGCCAATTTCGTGGAGAAGCGAAGCATGGACAGTCCCTTAGCACATAAAATAGTTAAAGCAAGAACAGGTCAGCCAGATTCCAATACATTTTGACTGGTAACCTGATTTTGCAGGAGAAATATTCTCTGCGCAGTGCTGAACAGTTTATGAAATTTGGCTCAGATTATAATAATTATATTAATGACAAATTTGACAACACTTTTATGAAAGAAAACGTTGTACCACAGCTCTAGGTATTTCCTCTGGTTTATGTACAAAATCGTTCATTTCTTTCCTTTTTTTATACAATGGCAGTAGCAAGTATTCTGTATGGTACATTTTGCGGCCTAATTATCTTGACACACTTTTATGTACATTCACACTTTCATAGCCAAAAGGAAAGAAAAAAAAGAAGGAACTTTGCAAAACATGTAAAACAACCATTGTTTTATAAGGCCTTGTATACAGCACAGCATTTTATCTAATGTTGAGACGTTACTGTGACAATCATGCAACTTTAAACTGGGTCATTGTGAAGGCAACATTCTAAAAATAAAGTTCTACAGTTTGAAAATCTCGCATTACAACTGAAGCAAAAGTGTCCTGTTGGATCATACCCAATGATTGCCATATCCATCGGTGCTAGTAACTTCTACTTCTTCGTCGATAATTGACTGTGCGTCCAATTGGATATCTACCCTCTAACCAAAAATATAGCGTGAAGGAAGTGCAAAGCATTGTGGGTAGTTGACAATTACCACCGTACCCAATGCAGGTACATTCCGCGCAACCTCGCTCCACCGGTTATCCAATGCAAGCTTCAAGGAGATTAGCTGTTATCACAAGCACCATTGGTTAGGGTGGTGGGTACCAACCACTGATCTCTAATACTGTTGTGGATAGGCGGTCAGAGTGCAGTGCCAGTGACTGACTGATGCCGCGTGTCTGCCATATTAGTTCACCAAAAAGCCTTGTGTACCCCACGCAGCATAAGACTACACAGTGTGTGTGCTACACAGTGCACAGCAGATGAGCACACTCTCGTTTTACTATACTCCCGAGGACAATGCTTTGTGTTTTCCCTCCCATAGACTAAGCACACAAACCTACTGTACTACAGAGGACCGTTTTGAACAAAAGACCCAACTCCCGAGAACTGAAAGGATCTGTTGTTCTCCCTGTGTGTGTCAGTCCTCAGGGGTTATGTGGAACACGTACACACAGGCCTACTTTACAAACCTAGTGTGGACATTCCTTTGTCTTTGTGTGGTAGGAAAAAACAGAGAAAAAAACCCTGATTTTACTCGCACTGTGAATACACTTCCAACCCAATTTTTGTTATCACAATTTCCTTCAGTATTGTTCTTCATTTTGCGACGATCACCCTAACCCAAAAATGCCTCTAAACCTGCTTTCCAGAGAGGGGGAAGCCTTGTGTGGACCTGGCTTAGTCCACAGAAGGTTCACCCAACCTGCATCGTGTGGACCTTTTTTGTTTTGAGGTCCACACAAAGATGGCAAGGTTGGCACAACAGGCTGGGTGAGCTAAGATGGCCAGTAAGCAGTGTAGGATCCATGTCGGTAATACAGATCAGTGGTATTAAACAACTCTCTATTGGGATGACGTTTTTTTACTTGGGATAAATAACCACAACAAAATTTTATTTTTCAAAGTGTGATTGGTCAATCTTCCAAACAAATTGGGGACAACATTGACATCACATTTAGTACACACTCAATGTGAGATCACCCAAAATGCTGAAGATTTTTTTTTTTTCATTGAATATATCTACCTAAATTTTGAACAGCGAATATGCATTATGTAACCATGGCAACCACTAATTTATCATTCAAAACAAGGATTCTGGATTTCTTTTAACATTACACACTGGTCCCTTTCAGGGTATATATCAAAAATCAAAGAAAGACTTGGTCCAAAAAAGAAAAAAAAATTAAGAAGAAAATTTAACAAACTACATTTATAGCATTTAATGTGTGCATGATGAAAAAAAAATTGCACTATAAATATACTACTGTATCTATCTGCAGCAGTATCGAGAATACACAATGTTACAACTTTTTTTTGTATTTACGCAAACTTTTTCTTACTCCTTTGTATGAAATTAAATAATGTTCAGGCTTTTTTTTTGGAAAATTTTACATGCACGTATTTAAGTATAAAACACAAGATAAAATCCCACTATGCAAAAATACACAAAATATTTATTAAACAGGCACTCTCCAGAAAAATTGGTTTCTAAATTTTAGAAACAAAACAAACAATCGGTATCACAAATTGGAGTTGGTATAATGAGAACTGTAAGTTATTCCCTTACAGGATAAAGGTTTAAATATCAAGCAGATTACATACTTTAAATCCATATCTTCAGAAAAAAAAACTAGTCTGCTGGTTTCTCCTTTTCCAACAATGCAAGATCATAAAGGGGATAAATATTGAGAAAAGTGAAAAAAAGTATGTTTTTAACCCATTAGCACCTGTATTACATTGTATTACATTGTGTTACATTGTGTTACATTGTGTTACATTGTATTATGTTGTTTTTATTCACTGAAGAATCAATCAAACAATAGAGCACTGGGGGATGTTTCAGGCATTATAGTGAGGAATAGGCAGGGCGGTTTCAGGCGCTACAGTGACTTAAGGGTTAAAGGGGCATGCAACTTTTTCTCCAAACAGCTGATTTCCTCCTTTTTTTTTTTACTTGCTAAGTATGTGTGCCATTAAAAACAGAAAAACAGTGTAAAAAGTCTCGGAAAGATTTTAATTTGTTCTTTTTTGTGACTTTCCAGTTGCATGCCTGGTTAAAGGAGTGTTCATCTGGCATGGAATTTGATACAATTTGAACAAAACTGTGCTTTCTTGCAAGGATAGTTGGTTGCAATGGGAGCTCATTACCAGGTATTGAAGTCGTCCCCTCCCCTCCCCCGAACCAAAGGTATTTCCCAGGTGTTTTAATTCCTTTGGTGCACAGACTTTTTGATATATGAACCAATCCTGAACTGTGAGAAATTCGACGTTACAATTTTTCTTGACTATTACTGCCAACCAAAACCCACTTTTAAGGTCAATGCCTATGAATTTTTTTAATGTTAAGGAAAGAATTTAAGAAAACCAAGTTATTTTCCCAGAAAGAGAGCACGATCCTGTTATAATTTCTTTGGTACCCAGACTTTGTAAAGCTTATATATGAACCCATGGTGAACGGGTTGACCTGCAATGTGCTTGCGCCACGACAGAGCTAGGCGTTCATTGATAGTGTTTGTGATGCTATCTGGCCACTAATTATTATTATTATTATTGATCATTTCTGGTAATGAAACCAAGGATTCCTCAAAAGCGCCCTAGGCACTGTAGCTCGCAAGCCTGAAGAAACCTGTGGATAGAAGACAATGAGAAGAAGTTACAGTTTTAGAGGTGGGAGGAAAAGCCCAGAAGAATATTTTGGGGAAAACCCACAGAATCAGGCAGGGATTGAAAACCCAATCCACATATTGGCCCAGGCGGGATTCGAACCCGGGTCACAGCGGTGGAAGGCGAGGAAAGTACCACTACGCCAACCTGACTCCCCGAATAAAACACAAGCCGCACGCTATGCACTGTAAGAAACACAAAGAGCGCCCTCACTTGGCCAAATCAATTGGCCAAGAATGTTTGATCACAAACACTATCGATGAACGCCTTGGACAAGGCTAGTTCCATCACGGCACAAGCAAATCGCCAGTCGACCAGCCTTAGATATCCAAGATGTAAAAAAAAATTGACAAACTGCCCCAGAAAACCAACTTTTAAAGGACAAGTATGATTTTTTCATGTTAACACTTTGGATGGGTACTCGAACAAATTAAATGTCCTTGAAGTATTTGTAAGTCTTTTATTTGAAAAGAGATGAATCTCTGTAAACTGAGATTCCTCTAAGCAAATGTGGAATTGGGTTTATAACAATTCCCATAATATGAAACATTGTTTGCCAAAAATTTATACAGCGAGACTTTAATTAAAATTTGAAGTTTTACAAATTTTAAAGTGACCTTTAAAATGACTGTCTTGACACTGTGATAGTATGAAATGTATGCATATTGGGTAGCAGATGTTGGATTCTTACAAATGAACCACTTACAGTCACCATGGCAACTCTAGTTTAAAATTAAAAAAAAATATACCAAAACAATTCTCAGCGTTCACACTTATTCAAACTCCAAAATTTGGCTTCTTTTTTATGTATAACTCATCTTTGTACAAACATTAACAAAAATACCCTTTATACAGGATGTTTTGGCTTATGTACATGCATTCTGGTAAAAGTTTCTGTCGTTATATCAAAATTATCATTACTTTTCACAAGAACACGGACGGCCTGCATTAAGCATCCATAGAAATGGTCGGAACAGACGTCGCTACCAAAAAAAATTTATCCTCGCCTCTGAAATTCGGATCACATTTCCAAAATTCCTTAATCGTTAACACCATGGAAGTTTTTTTTTGCAAATTTATCATACACCAGCAACAACTGAAAATTAAAATGTTCACAATTTTCAAGAAGTGGCTTTTCATATCCAATACTATTTAAAACAACAATGTGATGTTTGAAAAGCTTCATCTCTCCCAAGAAATTATCCTTATTTTGGGATTGTAATTTCTTCAGGAATTTTGACAACTTCAAGTTTCCTAACTTCTAAGACGTCCAGGATTTTCATGATTTCTATGTTTTCTACATTTTCTAGAAATTCCCAAGTTTTCCCTCAATTTCTGATTTGTTATATTTTATTTTATAAATTGATCGTAAATTCTAAAATTAATGTGTTTTGCAACACAGCAAGGGAAGAGACGCAATAACTCTCAAGTGCTAATTCTCCAAACTATTCTTCAACTTTGGTTAAACTGAAAGAACTTTATAACACGCTTCATGTGAAAATAATCATTTCAAAAAGCACCTTTTGTCAAAGTAAGCTTATTACTCAATTCCTTTTGACTATTTACAGGACTCTGATTTTATATTTGGTGAAATACATAAAATTTATACCCACACATAGGGGGAGTGGTTGGGGCGGAGAAAAAGGGTTGTTCAGTCAAAAAAAATCAAGAATTTCAGAGAAGAATTAGATTTCTTAATCTGAGCCAAATTTTAGTGTGTTCCTACATGTATGTCTGTGAAACATATCGAGAGCAAGGGGCTATTAGCAAAAGAGAGATTTAGTTTAGGAAATAATGGCTCTATAGAAAGAACTTCGAGTTAGATTATTAAAGTTACATTTTTTTTGGAAGGGTGCTTCTTCAATCGTGCCAAATGACATCGAAATATAAATCCAGCTCCTTTTGGGGGGGGGGGAAGGACAACCATTTAGTCAATAGGAAAAATGTCATGTGGCAATATTACATTTGTATATGGATAGTTTGGACACACTGATACAATGTTATTACAACATTTTGTCATCCAACTTTTTTTCTGATGGTAAAGGCTACCAAAGGATGAATCAATCTCGTTGCAGTAAGCTTTTCTAGAAGCTTTTGTAACAAAAATACTCATACTCTAAAGAAATTCTAATATTATTAAATGATTTCAGCGATACAATGAGTCATAAAAAATAATAAGATTTTAAAGATTACAATAAAAAATATTGGTTGACTATAAAAGAATAGAGAAGTATTTTTACAAATAATAAATAATTTGTTGATTTCAAATAACAAGGTACCGAAAAAAAAAAAATTATGCTAAGGTTAGAGGACACATCCAAACTGTACATTTCAATTCGCACGATCTACGTGTGGCTAGTGAAAATGCTAGTAGAAGGATGTGAGTTCAAGCTCCATCTGAGCATGGAGCACACATCACAAATACAGGTCGATATCGTGTTCGACCAATTTCAAAGATGTGTCCACCCTCTTACAGAATAGTCACTTTTTTATGCCCGACACTGGATGATGAGTGGGGAGGGGTACTGTCTTGGGGTAAGGGGAGGCATGAGAGGGGTAGGGAAGAGATGCAAAAAAACAGGAAGGGCTAGGACTCTCGATGTCCGTTCGTCTTGAACTCTTCAAGGGGGACTACGATGCCGTCTGTGAAAAAAATATGAGAAGAAAAACATTCAACTTTAAGTTCCTTGTTTCTTGACAACAAATCGAAGAACAAATATGCATCTAAAGCCCAGTTCATACTTCAGCGAATGCGAATGGGAAGCGAATTTGCAACATGGCACGTTCGCTGCGAAATTCGCCCGAGTTGAAATATGTTCAACTTTAATGAATTCGTGAATACTTGCCACGACGTCACAAATTCGCGTTCACTTTCGCTTTTGCACAGAGTATGAACCGGGCTTTTGAGAGATTTTTTTATTGAATAATTTGTGAGCTTATACAAAAAAATTGAACTAGCCCCCCCAAAATCCCACTTTGGTCTCGCGACGGTAGATCATCATCCATTTGGTTATTGACAACCACCAATGCAACCGACGCTGTGTTATAGCGCCCTCAAGCGTGCAGGAGCAACGCCTACTGGCATTCCTTTAGCGTCCTTACCCATGTATACTCTGAGGATGGCTTCACACACAAAGCGATATTGGGCCGTGGTCTGTATCAGCATGGCGCGCTGGTCACGCATCGTCCGCACGATGTCCAGCGGGTACACGGGCTGGTTGCTCTCGATAAGACACATTGCCGTCTCCATGGTGATCAGGACTCCTGTCCGACCAATGCCAGCACTGGGGGGAGGGGGGGGGGGGGAGAGAGGGGGAATAAGTAAAAAAGGTAAAAATCACATCAAGTATTTCTCAAGTCAATTTCTAATTTACATGCGTTCCTGAAATTTCATGAAGCTGCTTATAAGAAAACGTTACTTAGCAGCTAAGCAGAAAGAAACCGAGTACCAGTGAAAGGCAGTTGAGATATACATGTAGTACCTTTTGGCTGGTTACCCGATATTACTAAGTGAAAATTTCTTTACTTAGCAAATTTTGAGCTTATGCGAGCAACTCCATTTAAAACGGCTGCCGACTGTGTTATTTATTTTGAAGATTTCAGTCGAGGAACATCGTTGATGTTCAAGCTCTCAAACAAGAATGGCCAACGAAAAAATCTTCCAAAAATGGCAAGTTTTCACTGCTGAAACAAAAAAATTCTAGGCTTTTACAGAAATGAAACAGTTTGATGTTGCAACAAAAGCCAATTTTGCCTACCTGCAATGGACTAACGTCGGCGCTGTCATGCCCACTCTATACTGCCTCACCCGGATCACAAAATCAAGGAAGTCCGACGAGTCGTCTGGCACCCCGTGGTCGGGCCACGCTATGTATTGCATCTGAAGCACCTTGCGAGTTTCACCAGTCTAGGCAGTGTTCAAATCCACAAGAAAATACTATTATTCTGACGGCTAAAATGGACTGCTGTGCATAGGGTATTTTCTTAAGTGTAATATCTTAAAGGGAATATACATCATTTGCTTTTGCTGTAATTTTCAGAAATGGATGGAATTGGGGGGTTGGAAATATATAGCAAATATAGTTACACTGACTTTTTTGAGGTTTTGGGTTCGAAAATGCTATAAAAACCAAGAAAAACAATCATTTTCCTGTACTCTGGTTCCCTGACTCCATTTAAGAAGAAACAGAGCAGTTTACATACATTGGGGAATTGTAAGGTCAGGGAACCAGTCTAGCTGGCTTGTACCCGTTCATAGGTGTGTAATCGATTGCAAACAAGTGCGATGGTCAACTGGGGCCAGTATTTGAAAAAAAAGCCAGTTTTTTCCAACGCTGGTCGGCCGACCAGCGTTGGAAATTGATACAATACCACTTTTCTTGAAAATGACAGTATACCAGGTGCCATGATTTTACAGAATGCTTTACACTGTCATTCACTAAAAGTCCAGCAAGGTATTTCAAAATTATTTGGTAGTTTTATTTTTTGATGTTTGCAAATGTTGTATTTTCCCTTTAATTGACAACAGCGCTACTGTCATGCTTAATTCAAATAACTTTTCAGCAAGGTTCAAGACAGTGCAATCTTTCCACCGCACCGCTTTCACGTGTCTTACCTCTGTGTGTGTGATGATGAAGTCCCTATAGGCGAAGGACGGCGTCTCCTCCGATCCCGTGCAGGCGACCTCTAGGTGAGGAGGGTAGAGCAGCTTCTGACCCAGCTCAGGCCAGTACTTGTGACATTTGACCTAAGGTCGTTGCCAAGGTAACAAAAATGAGATAAGCTATTAGAAAATATAGTAGAGTCAAAAGGGACATAAACACATCTTCAACTCAGCACGAGCTCAATAACAGCCTAATTAGATGCCAAGACGCCCTCATCAAACAATCAAAGCCCATCAGATTTCCAGACACATTCCCTGGCTAACCCCTGAGGGTCAACAAGCCAGACAGATACCCAGCGCAAGCCCAAGTCAAGCATCCAGCCAATGCCCTTATCAAACACCAAGAGCCATTGCCAGACACCCAGACAAGCTGCCCAATGTCACACACCCAAATACAGGCACTGTCAAACACCCAAAGCCAGACAGATACCAGGCCCAAGCCCAAGTCAAGCATCCAGCCAATGCCCTTATCAAACACCAAGGGCCATGGTCAGAAACCCAGACAAGCTGCCCAATGTCAAACACCCAAATACAGACACTGTCAAACACCCAAAACCAGACAGATACCCAGCCCAAGCCCAGGTCAAGCATCCAGACAATGCCCTTTTCAAACACCAAGAGCCATTGCCAGACACCAAGACAAGCTGCCAAATGTCAAACACCCAAATACAGGCACTGTCAAATGCCCAAAGCCAGACAGATTCCCAACCCAAGCCCAGGTCAAGCATCCAAACAATGCTCTTATCAAACACCAAGAGCCATTGCCAGACACCCAGACAAGCTGCCCAATGTCACACACCCAAATACAGGCACTGTCAAACGCCTCAAGCCAGACAGATACCCAGCCCAAGCCCAGGTCAAACATCCAGATAATGCCCTTATCAAACACCAAGAGTCATTGTCAGAAGCCAAGACAAGCTGCCCAATGTCACACACCCAAATACAGGCACTGTCAAATGCCCAAAGCCAGACAGACACCAGGCCCAAGCCCATGTCAAACATCCAGACAATGCCCTTGTCAAACACCAAGAGCCATTGCCAGACACCCAGACAAGCTGCCCAATGTCAAACACCCAAATACAGGCACTGTCAAACACCCAAAGCCAGACAGATACCAGGCCCAAGCCCAAGTCAAGCATCCAGACAATGCTCTTATCAAACACCAAGAGTCATTGTCAGACGCCCAGACAAGCTGCCCAATGTCAACTCCCAAATACAGGCACTGTCAAATGCCCAAAGCCAGTCAGACACCCAGCCCAAGCCCAGGTCAAGCATCCAGACAATGCTCTTATCAAACACCAAGAGTCATTGCCAGACACCAAGACAAGCTGCCAAATGTCAAACACCCAAATACAGGCACTGTCAAATGCCCAAAGCCAGACAGATTCCCAGCCCAAGCCCAGGTCAAGCATCCAGACAATGCTCTTATCAAACACCAAGAGCCATTGCCAGACACCAAGACAAGCTGCCCAATGTCACACACCCAAATACAGGCACTGTCAAACGCCCCAAGCCAGACAGATACCCAGCCCAAGCCCAGGTCAAACATCCAGATAATGTCCTTATCAAACACCAAGAGTCATTGTCAGAAGCCCAGACAAGCTGCCCAATGTCACACACCCAAATACAGGCACTGTCAAATGCCCAAAGCCAGTCAGATACCAGGCCAAAGCCCGTGTCAAACATCCAGACAAAGCCCAGGTCAGAAACCCCCCCAAAGCCTGTTAGACACCCTCTCAAACACTATCTCAAACACCCTCATAACACCTATGTCAGAAACCTAGACAAAACTCTTGTCGGATACCCAAACTGAATGGACAACCAAACAGAACCCATGGCAGACCCCCGGTCACACCAAGACAGGGGCTCTTGCCAGATACCCATACAGACCCCGCATCAGAACCCCCTGTGTCTTACCCTTCCCCGCTCCACGTTGGTGGTAAGCATGGCTATCAAGGTGCTTTCCTGTTCCCAGACCATGTACCAGAAATCCCCGCAGGTGTTGGGCAGAGGTCCCTGAGCAGCTATGTACGAATTGGTCACGTCGCTCACGGGAATCTCCATCTGAACAAAATAAGAAAGCAAAATTGGATTGAAACTTTTCTTCAGCGCGGAATTGTTGGGAAATTTCTTCGAGCTGAAAAATGCCGGAAAAGTTACCTTAATAAGGTTAGCATTGATGTAGTCACCGGTTTCTGATCCCTGAAGCATTATTCTTGTGGCATCATCTGAAATCAAAAGAAAAAAATCAATTCGACATTCAAATTGGGATGATCGCAGTGTTTAATTTCTTCGTCACATCTCTTCCTTAAATCTTACCTACTCTACAACTTTGGTAATTATACTAATACAACACCAACACTGTCATTTAAACTTCATTTTTATTTAAACTGATAAGTTAAAGTACACTCCAGGGATAAGTCACTTTCTGTGCCCTTACAGGGTGCTATATCTCGGTATCTGTTCTTGGCGACGTTGTCAGGATGTCTGCAGGCGTTCATCGTCAAGCCTGGCTTTTTCCTGTAGAGTTGCTAAAAAAAGAAGAAAAAAAGTAAACATTAATTGGAAAATTGAGAAAATATCAAAAAGGAGCCTGGCTGTTCGACAAATGGACCCTTCCTGTCCGTCAATCAAATGGGGTGCTTTGACCAATTAGATTGAGATTTTGGTCAGGTGACCACTGTAGCTCAGGCAAACTCAGTCACAAGTACTGTGAGAAATGTACACAAACCAAAGGTGGGCGGGGCTTGACAGTGCACACTGACCAATTAGATCATGACTTTTGGTCAGGTGACCACGGTAGCTCAGGGAAACTCAGTCACATGCACTGTGAGAAATGTACACAAACCAAAGGTGGGCGGGGCTTGACACTGCACACTGACCAATTAGATCATGACTTTTGGTCAGGTGACCAAGGTAGCTCAGGCCAACTCAGTCACATGCACTGTGAGAAATGTACACAAACAGAAGGTGGGCAGCGCTTGACAGTGCACACTGACCAATTAGATCATGGCTTTTGGTCAGGTGACCACAGTACCTTGGTTGAACTCAGTCACATACACTGTGAGAAATGCATACAAACCAAAGGGTGGGTGGGGCTTCTGACCAAATCTGGAACGGTCCTTTGCACCGGCCAATTGACCTATCGCCGTTTGCGAGTTAGCCACACCCCTTTACTCTATGGAGTTTTTGTACGCTAAGTTTTGTCTGTCACAGATTTTGCGCGTTCTGCGTCTATTTGTATATCATGTAATTGGACAATATTTCACAAGCTGCGTTGACACGATTCCAACGCGATTCTACCGCGACAGGTCAATTTTATCTATTCACGTATCTTCTCACAAGGAATGCACGCATGTAAATTGTCATCAAACCAAAGGTGGTAAATAGAAAGTACCAAAAAGAAAATGTGATCAACGGTGTTTCTGAGGTCAGGGGAAAATACCTCGAAAAGTGTCAGTGCGGTTCCGCTCTCGAGACCTTCTTGTAGCATCATGATGGACTCGATGAGTGGATCGCTCTCCATGCCGCCATTGGGCACACGAGGGCTCTCTGGGATGTACTGGAAGGCGGGCTCCTCCTCTGCTTCCTCACTGACATAAACTACATGTTGGAAAATAGATGCAAGCAACCATTGGCTACATGTAGATCAGGATACATTCAAATGGCAGAGGCTGAGTCTATCGCAAAGGTACTATTTATGTTTGCTAAAGGTAGATTGGATCATTTGCTTTTTGTGCAATTATTTTCATTTGAAGCAAGCAAGGAAACTGCTAAAAATCTTAAGAAGGAAGCATAAATTTTTGAAGTTGCAGCTCAGTGGATACTATACATTTTGAGAAAACAGAGAAAATGTATGTGAGTCAGGTTGGCGTAGCGGTACTTTCCTCGCCTTCCGCCGTTGGACCCGGTTTCGAATCTTACCTGGGCCAACATGTGGTTATCAATCCCTGCCTGATTCTGTGGGTTTTTCCCTAGAATGTTCTTATGGGGTTTTCTTCCCACCTCTAAAACTGTCATTTCTTCTCATTGTCTTCGCTATAGGTTTCTCCAGGCTTGCGAGCTACAGTGCCTGGGGTGCCTTCGAGGAATCCTTGGTTTCATAACCAGAAATAATTAATAAAATATAGTAAAAATAACACACATTGTGTGGTCTTGTAACTGGATTCCGCTGCCAATGCATGTAAATAACTGTGCCACATTAAATGATTGTTTTCTTCCAAGTAATAACATTTCCATGTGGAATAATTTCACAGGGTATTTGATACCTGTCCTATCTTCACTTTGAGAAAGCATTTTCTCGTTAAATCAGTAGGTTAATTTTTCAAGTAATTGCAAATGATCCTCCATGCCTTTACAGTGGAGGATTTGCGAAGGATTCAGATAGGTTCCAAGTTTAAAAAAACAATGTGCAGTGAGATTTGGGTCTACTCACCATTTGGTCTGACGGTGAGTAAGAGGTCCTTGTTCCCAGAATCCCCTATGGAGCGAATGGTACTGACCACTTTCTCATTGGTGTACTGTGTCAAATCTTTGCCATTCAGGAAGAGGATTTGGTCGCCTTCATTTAGCCGGGGGATGCACTGGTCGGCCTGAGGGGCACAAAAACGAGTAAAAAATCAGAAAAGGAACCACACATGCAAAAACTAGCACAAACATGTATAAAGCTACTTAGTGGCTAAAGTTGTTAAGTAAATTTACTTATCTACATCTCTTTGTAAAGGAATTGAGAGCCTACTTGAGATATGAAACTAATATACTTATATGACAACTATACACTTATATGACAACTACATTTACTTTTTTTATCTATTGTTTGAAAGTGACGAGAATTACAAATCTTCGTACCGGTGTATTCCGTGCCACCCTTGACACAATGATCGGACTGCCTTGGTCGGCACCGCCTTTCACGTTGAAACCAAAGCGCCCCCTATCATCGCTTTTGATGCGTATCGATACCAGGGGGTCGCCTGTGGGTGAAGTTCCGTTGGGCTGAAAAGAGGAAAGAACACTGCTGTATCAAAGGACAACTTCAGCACTCCTGGATTGTGAAGGGTTAAGCTTTTCATTTTCTACCAGGTTTGTAAGACATTTGTTTGTTTGTGACTTGTTTACCGTTGGTCCGTCATTCAGCAGGTCATATGACCTCTCCGTCAGGCTGAGGTCACTGCCCCCGTCGTCCATGAACATGATCTTGGGCGGATGCAGTAACTCTTCACTCTTAGAGATGCCATTCTCACTGCAAAAGGGAAAAAAATATTGATTCATCATTTACTCTTGTTTTATCCAATGACCTGGCGACATGTATCAGGGGTGAGATGGGGAAAAATGAAAAAATCCAAGAAATATTTGGCGGAGGGTTTGTGTGTCATCGAGTTATAAACAACCTTTACGGTAAAACCTCAGGAATTCCAGATTTCAAAAAGTTTTTTTAAAACTCAGGAAAAATCCGGACACAAATCCTGAAATCCTGAAAAATCCTGATAAATCTCACTTCTGTGATAACATTACTTATCCTGAAAAAAAAAGTCATCACAGAAATTTAAAAAAAATAAATAGGGATTTTTTAGCATGCTCATGAAATATGCTACATAAAATCTACATTCTGTAAAGAACGTTCGCCGATTATACCAAAGTCATTCTGATTTCTCCACACCATGCTGAAAATTCCGGCTGATGAGTAAAAACTGTTAACATAAAAAATTAGCATACAAAGGGAAAACAACTCTTGAAAAGCAATTATATTTAGGAAGCCAACCTCATGTAGAACACATTGATGACAACAGCACCCCTACATTTGTATGTAAACACCCCAAAAAAAGAAAGTCCACACTCATTGGAGGGGTCATAATTTTGAATCTGATCATCTTATGATGACGTCATTTATATATACATTTGGGGAACTTGGTTTGCTACATTTTGATACCCCGTTTACTAACAAAGACTGTAAATGGTCCAAGAGTGACTATGGTTTATGAAAAGTGATGCAGTTTGAAAAGTTGCAAATTTAAAGATTACGTGAGGGGAAATTGCTAAGCGTAACTACATGTGGCCGTAAATTGGCCCGAATCGACTGCACAGTGCACGAACAAAGCGCGGGTAATTCATTTTGCATGCTCACATGCATGCAAATACTGTGCAATCGGTATTCCCTGTTGTTCGTTTCGGGCAGGGTGCCATTGTCATGCAGCAATTTCCACTCGCGTACTCTTTTAATTTGCAACTTTTCACAATGCATCATTTTTCATAGACCATTGTCAATGTTGGACGATTTACAGTCTTTTGTAGCAAACGGAGAATCAAAATGTAGCCAACAACATTCTCCAAAGGTCTATATAAATGACGTCATCATTAGACGATCAGATTCAAAATTATGACCCCTCCAATGAGTGTGGACTATCTTCTTCTATTTTCGGTGTTTATTTAGGGCCAAGTTCGTGCAAGGACTATAGTTGACCATAGTTCGACTAACGTTTGCCCGAACTCTGTCTAGTCGACGGTGGTTGACTACGCTAGTCGACTATTTGGAACCAACCCACTGGGGCTGGTTGCATCGCTGGTAACCAATAGCCGCACGCATTCATAACGCTAGCAGGGAGCCAGGATCCAGAAGTTTTGCGATGACATTTTGACCAGTGTTTGACTAGAAACGTGCGCACGTTGCTATCAGTGCGCAGGCGTAAGGTACGTCACAAATCAACCACCGAACTTGGCCTTCATATGCTGAAAAAGTGATCAATATCACCCAAACCCCAAAATGGAAACTAAACATCACTCAGAAAAGAAAAGAAAAATCCATGAGTTGCCACAACCACTTTTTTGAAGGCAGCCAAGTCGTATCTTTGTCGTCTCAAACTTAAACTGAACTTTGGGGTGAAAACTCACCGTATGCCATTAGGCGAAGCGGGGACATGCCCATCATAGCTGCAATACCGGCTGTTATGACTGTGGATAGGGGGGTGATAAAAAACATTGGGGAAATGCATCATGCAAGAAAAACAGCTCTTTTTGACAATGGTGAATTGTTTCATCAGCAAAATCGTGCAGTTTTTTTGTAGTGTGCAGAATGGGAGTATTAAACAAAAATTAAAAAATAAATTCAAAATAAAAACTTGGACATAAGAACAGAGTTTTTTAAATGATTGTATTTTTTATGAGTGCATGTGTAGGATTAATTGTTCTATAAATTATAGTTTAAAGGTTCGTAAATAAAATTAACCAAATGAAATTAATGATTTTAATCATTATTTCAGATGCAATTTTCACCAAAATTGCCTCTGAAAAAAAAAATCTAATAATTGTTTTCCTTCAATTTGGCCATAGTGATTTTGTTTTATCTTGATTTCAAATGAAAAGTGATTAAAACAATTCTGACATTTTCCCACAACTCAAACTGAAACATATGAAATGAATGTATGCATTCAATTATTGTGCACAGCAAAAGCGGCATTATCAAAAACAAAACAAAAAGACAAATTTTCCAAGCCTGAAAACAAAACAAGAAAATGTTCAATTCAAGAGGAAATATGAACAGCAAATGGCAAGAAGAGAAGGTTTTGTGTTCAGAAGCTCAGACCCAGAAAATATGCAAATGAAGAATCTGTAAAAATTGACAAAATGGAAAGGGTTTGGGGTTCTTTAAAATTAGGACAGGGATCTGGACTTTTTGGGGTACAATTTGAGGACAGTTTCAGGGATTTTTTTTTTTTTTTTACAAATTCTTCACTTGGATTGTCATGATATCAGCCAACATGCTCTCCCTCCATTCCGCATATCATTCCGATATTAAAAAAAAAAAATCAACAAAATATGATACCAAAGGCCCCCCAAAAAAGTCTCCTTTTTCTGGTATACATGCGCGTGTTGCTGTAGCCATGCGAGTCGGCAAAATGAAAAAGTTTTTTTTTTCAATGTAAGGTGATGTCTCAAAACCGCCAAACTCACTGGATTGACTGGAATCCGGCTGCTGCACAATTTTAACGTGTTTTTAGATGGGGTTATGATCGAGAATAAGCTTTATGTGGCCACTCTGGGCTCCCATATATTTTGCTCTAAATTTAGTCGGGCACCATTTGCAGACGGTGTTGCAATGTTGTAACTGTGCGTCTGGAAGCCAGACTGACGGAGCGATGATCGTGTATCTGGAACCTGTAAACGCTTTTTAATTAGCTCAATATACTTCTCAAGCCTTACTGAGGTCACCTCAAGCTGCACTCTGAAGGATATTTTGAGAGTTTTAAGGGGATCGAAGCGTCATCTGCAACATCAGCCGAAGAGAAAAAAAGTTGGGTTAAAAAAAGAAAACCCGCGTCGCTGCACCACTTTTTGGGCAAGCTCCATACCAGAAACCGGAGACTTTTTTGGGGGGCCTAATCATCAGTTTTTAATAAAAACTTTAAAAGAAACACAGCAGAGTTCTGAAGGCAAAGATTCAGGGACAAAGATGTACAAAAGTTGGCTTCAAATTATAAAGGTTTTTTTTAGACAGCCACTTTATGAATTTCATGCGTTGTTTTGGCAATCCCCTGACTTCACCTATAAGTATTCACCCTAGACTTTTCCAGGATCTTCCAAAATCCACCAGACGGTTTGGGGGCATTTTGTAGGATCAAAGAAGGTACACATGTAGATGTAAGCCGTAATGTTTTTCTACATGCGGCTTGATGCACCTTCAAATTTGAGTACACAGAATGTGACCATGAGTGGATTTTGGGAGAAAACCCTAACCGAACTCAACCCATCAAAGTTCAACAGCAGGTTTTGTTTTAAATCTGTTGGGATAGGTACAGTACCCCTAAACTGATGGTCTTTTACACTGGGGTTGGCATACCTCCAGAAACTAAGTCCAACAGTGTGTGTGTACAATTTCCCATGTGGGTGTTTGAATTTGCCAAAATGGGTATGGTTCCTAGTAAATTAGGGTTAAGGTAGGTACCCATGACGTTGGGCGCCATCCCTGGCTTCTTGGCATAACTGATTTTATGGCTTCCGACTAGCGCCCCTTGCACAAAGACATTGACAAAATGGGGAACTACCAACATAGGGCTGGATAGCTCAGTTGGTTAGAGCGCCGGAACGGTAATCTGGAGGTTGCCAGTTCAAACCCAGCTCCAGTCATTTTTTTTTACTTTGTAGTTTATTTGAAAATGTATTCTTATTTGTACAAAACATAAATCTCGATGAGTTTCATGAACACCATCGACGTGGGGCAATTCAATGAAAATGTCAACTTTCTGTCAAACTAGTACAAAGTTTTGGCCCAACTTTCCTACTTCTAAAGAAAATAGTGAGAACACACTGCCCTTAAAAGGATGTGCTCAGATCTGATACGCAGTTGAGATCGGTACACTCCAGCTGACAACACAAAAGTTGACATTTTCGGCATGGAATTGTTCCCCACGGTGAAGCTAGCTCGGCCATGCTGGTTAAGAGGTTTTTGCAGCCAGGTTAAGTTAACTCGGTAAAAATCCTCCTTCAACCAGGGTTTAAAACTTACTAGTTGAGTCCTAGTGATTTGAATTTGGATGATCTGGTCGGCAGGCTGCTAGTCACTGTGCTGTTAATGGTGCAACAGATGAACAGGTAAATGGATTTATAACTTGGTAACTAATCTTAAACCGTTTAATAACACATTCATAAACCTGGTTAATAAGTGCTTTGATTCAACAGTAACTGATGGTGATCTGAAACGGTTTTAAGTTTAACTGGTTATGAAAAACCTTGGTTAACTTACTGGTTATCGAGGAGCGGTTTATGGTTGCCGGTCCTCAAGGGTAGGCTTCGGGTTTCTGTCCGGATGATCTCGGAAGTCGTGCCGCTGATGGTTCGCCTGAATAACCTCTTGCTCGGTGACCTGAGGTCAACCAAAAGGTCAAAGGTTAACTGATAAAGGTGTTCAATATTGAAAAAAGCAAGAGTTCACGATGAAATGTTTATTCGGTTTAATGTATTTTTTTTTTAAGTAATGACACAGGGTGTAAACAAGACACATTTAAGCATGGTTTGTGAGGGTTATTCTGTTGATACTCAACAACAACAAAAATATTAAAAAGTAATAAAATAAACGTTTTTTTCCTTTATTTTTTTTTCGCCATTTCTTCTACATTCCCCATGCTCCTTTCATGCCACATTGCAGAGTGCTGCATTCATTTATACAGTAGCCTAAGTTCACTTATATATGCAGTAATAATCTTTCCTTTAGTTTTGGCAAAAGCTTCTTTTGTGTCATTCAAATAAAACAAATCATAATATTCCACACCCAAATCTAAGTATTGTTTTTATTGCAAGGAATTTTCTTTTAAACAAAAACTAAAGACGTCTCAGAATTTCACTATCTTGCCCCATTTTTTGCTGATGGCTAACTGTTTACCCTGTCACAAAGGAAAACAACATGCCAGCAGAATAAACTACTATGCCACTCAAAACCACTCAGCTTGCATTAAAGATAGACTGGACCATTTGCATCTATCCAAAAAGTGACAGAAAAAAATTCTTTCAAAAAGCTATCTTAGTTTTAGTCATGACGCTAAACTCCCTGTGAAATAATCTTTCTGGCAAGCTGTCATTTTCGCACACAAAAAAACAGTAAAAGAAGGTCATTTCCAAAGATGTGTCAAGTGACACATTTTTGGAAATTTTTCGTTAGTAGTAGGTTTGTAATTGGGTGAATCCGTGAATGGGTGCACGCAAGCGTTGACACGATGCACATGCGCGCGCTGTTGCTACTATTCGTTGGCTCAGTGCGTGACATCGCGTAGCTGCCATCGACTAAATGAGAACGTGTCCCGGATGCTGATCTCGGGCGCAATTCAAAACATGACTCGGCAACTTTTGAATTGAAATTGAGATCCCAGAGAGTTTTCTCGGAATATACAGCATTCACAGAGCTAAAACTTCATCGGGTCAATTGTTAAGCACCCTTCTACAATATTTTGAGTAGTTTTGTTGCTTCAAAATAAAAACAAAAATGCACAAATTACCAATGGTCCACTCTGCCTTTAAGTTCCAAAGAGTTTTAGGAAAATATTCTGGAGAATGACAGGTAGCACAAGGACTCAAATAAAACGTGGCTTTGTGCGAGCTGCGTTTACAGCCAGTTGAGCAGGGTGGGAGTGGGGGATTTTTTTGGCATGATTGTGCTATCTAGAGCTCAGTTATCATGCAGCTTGCATGCGTGCAGAAAAAAAGGCAATTTTTTGTATTGCTTTTGTGGATAAGGTGCTCGTCCCCTGTGATCTGTGATTTTGACTTGTGACTGACTTGTGAATAACGTGTAACTACTTGTGACTGAGTTGTGACTCACTTGTGACTAACTTATGATGGATTTGTTACAGACATGTGATTTGACTTAAGTCTTGTGATTGACTTATGATTTGACTTTTGACTGACTTGTGAATAATGAATAACCACTTGTGACTGAGTTGTGACTCCCTTGTGACTAACTATGATTGCTTTGTTACAGACTTGTGATTTGACTTAAGTCTTGTGATTGACTTTTGATTTGACTTGTGACTGACTTGTAACAGACTTGTGATTTGACTTGCGATCAACCTGTGATCGACTGTGATTGACTTGTGATGGACTTGTGATTTTCTTGTGATGGACTTGTGATGGACTTGTGATGGACTTGTGATGGACTTGTGATGGACTTGTGACTGACTTATGATTGACTTGTAACTGACTTGTGATTATTAAATGTAAGACTTACTTGTGATTGACTTGTGATCGACTTGCGACTGACTTGTGACTGACCGACTTGTGATTGACTTGCGACTGACTTGTGACTGACCAACTTGTGATTTGATTTGTGATTGACTTATGACTGACTTGTGACTGACTAATGATTGATTTGTAACTTGACGTGAGATTGACTTGTGATGGACTGGTGACGGACTTCACTACAAGCCCTAGAGCAACTGAATGCATCTCCCATGCTACTACCGGTACCAACATGCCTCTACATCTTCGGTGCGTGTGTTACCATTCTACGGGGACGTGCACGCCGCTACATTTCCTCGGCGTGTACTTGGCCATTTTGGCCGGTCCCCCGCCACCACCGGTGCACCGGGGACTCCCCATGACCACGCAGGGGATGTCGGCAATGAGGCAGGGGGCGCTGGACAGCCGGTGGATGCCCAGGAGCTGGGGGGACCGGGAGGCGAGGCACGGGCTATGGGGGATGTAAGAGGAACGGGACGGGGTGGGGACGGTGGAGAAGGGGCCGTGGATGAGGAAGGGGTTGAAGGGGGGAGAAGTGCTAGGAGTTTTGGAGTCAGGATTGGGGTTAAGGTGGGAAAGGTAAACTAGTTAATGATGGGATGATGGTGGAATGACTAGCTGGGGGACTCACTGTTTAAAACAGGTTTCATGAATAAAATTTGCAAAGGTACAGACTTTTGGACACATTACAGAGTTTGGATTCAGTTCAAACACAAATTTCTCGAAGTGCTGACAGATTGGCAGACTGGATCTGATCCAATGTATTTGCTCGATGTTTTTTTCAAGGTATTCGAAAACGAGTCAACGAGTTAATGACAATATTCTTACTTCACAAGTTTGCGTTTGTTTGAAGCATGAACTAGGCTTTGGTTTTAGCAAATACCATACTACCTCTATTATTAAGGTGGTTAATGAAAGCTGAACAAAGCACAATCTACCACTACTTCTGACAACATGAAGCTACAGGGACCACTGAGGCGAAGGAAAGTTTTTGAAGGGAAGCATGAAATACAGCGCGTCTAAAATACCCGCAACATTTTTTTACGTCGCTGTAGCGTCGCCGCAGAAACATGTACTGCCATTATTTTTATATCACTTAAAGCTTGGAATCTTAACTTTATCCCTGGTAAGTATTGGTTTGATTTTCAAAAGGGTTTTGAAATTATTCGTGTTCAAATAAAGGCATGTCAAAAACAAACTCAAAGATTTCAAGGAAAATCAATCATGCGCATATTTTTTGTAATGTGAAAATGCTTCAACATGTTCACGATGTGACGATCTCGTTGCCTGTTACTTTCTGTTTCCTTTTGTTTTTGATCCACGTAGACTACACCTTAAATAATTTCACAATATGTGATGCAATCAAGCTAAATGAGTCATTTGTCGGGAATTCTTATTTAGAGATACAGACCCAAATAGGGCCACTTCATCACATCACTTCTCTTGGTGTTCCAACTTCCTTAATTTTTGAACTGAAGATGGTATCAGCATGCAGTTTTCACAGCAATAATGCTGAGATTGTGCTCTTTTCAAATCTGTAATAAAAAATTTTTTGACCAGGGTCGACAAACGACTCATGTAGCTTGATCGCATCACATATTATTCTTCGTTTCAAGTTCAATGTGTTTTTAATATAAATCAACTGGTTTTCTCTTGTTATTTCAAAAGCTTGTTCACTCGAGTTTGCATCTGATGTCAGGCCCGTCACCAAGGGGAGCCTGGTGGGGCCGGGCCCCCCTTGGCGAGCATTTGGTCCCCAGCGGCAAAAGCCATACATATGTATTTTTGTATTTTTTTATGGTAGTGGGCCCCCCTAGTTGGTTCTATGGCCCCCCTTGATGCTCAGGGCTGGCGATGGGCCTGTCTGATGTACCGCATCGTCGATTTTCCTTGAAATCGGTTGAGTTTGTTTTCGACATGCCTTTATTTGAACACAAATAATTTTAAAACTCTTGTAAATATCAAACCAATACTCGCCTGGGATCAGGTTAAGATTCCAAGCTTTAAAATGGTATACATGTAAATGGTATGTGTTTCTGCGCCGATGCTAGAGCCTTGCCAAAAAAACGTTGCGGGTATTTTGAGACGCGCTGTTAATGTCTGCTTAATTAAAACAAACACATGGGAAAGTGTACATCACTTCGGGAAGATTTCTGGAAATGGTGACTTTATGAGAGGACTGTCCGGCAATTTCACTACCTTTGGAACTCCCGTTCTTTCGTGGCTAGTCGCCTCTTCGCATCTTCAACAGTCTGATACTCTGTTCTTCCGCTGAAAGACCAAAAAAAGACAGGAGGAGTGTTTACTCTGAGCTGACAAATTGATTTTCTGACACTCCACCACAAGCATCCTCAAATTTTGACGAAATGTTTTGAGCTTCTTGAGACCGTATTCAATTCCGTTGTTGTAATTCGGGCGATTCTCAATGCAGTGCACCACCAAGAGTTTGCCATGGAGAGTCTACTTTTCAAGTTTACGGTCGACAAAATATGGCCCATTTGAATGAGTGTCAGTAGACACTTGAGCTAATTTGTTATAGACTGGGGCAAGGCGTTCTGCGGCCTGACCAAAAATCACCATATATTGATATAAAGAAAAGAAAAGGGCAAACATATACTCGAATCATACGCTTACGAAACTACTGACCGAAAAAAAAAAAAAATCTTCAAATGTCCCGCGCTGCGAATTTGTCGACCATCTCCCACAATGCACTGGGAAAAATGAAATCTCTGTGGCAAACTATTGGTGGCGCTCTGCATTGTGAATCGCCCGAATCAACAAATCCTGCTTTCTGTCAGCTACGTCGGTCCCCTCACCTATATCTGAACTTTGACCCCAGTTGGAAGAAGACTCGTTTCTTGGGCTGCGGCTGGGGCTCCACCAGCCTGAAGAATGTATGGTGTTCCACGCAGGACTTCCACAGGTTCTTACAGTGTCTGTAGCTGGCCATGTTGAAGCCAATGACCGTGTCTCTGGTTTCGTGCTACGGGATTGACAATACAAGGAACGAACGATAAGTAACTTAATGGATTATGTGCTCAAATATTCATTTGATAATGGATCGTTCTATATATTTGGGTCCACTTTTTTCCTGTCGCTGTTACGTCTGACATCTTTGATTTTATAATGCTGATGCACTCCTTAATGCAGTCGTCCTCCAAGAGTGATTATGAATAGCAAGCTACCTACCCCCCAAAAATAAAAATAGTTTGAAGTCATTCTTAACCCTAACTCCCTAGCATGATTTACTAGGAACCATACCCATCCTAGCAAATTCCAACACCATGGGAAATGACACACACATATTTTTTGACTTTGATTCTGGAGGTGTGCCAACCCAATGTAAAAGACTGTCAGTTTTAGGGGAAATGTACCCATCCTGACAGATTCCAACAAAATATGACGTTGGGATTTGATGGGTTGAGTTCTGTTAGGGGATGCATGAGGTGGGTTCTGCATAGGAAAACTCTCATGAATGGCACTATCAACTGATTCTTGGATGCATGGTGTGTACTCTACTCAAAAGAAAATTTTGCTAAGAAAATTTATGTCGTGAGCAAACATAAGGTGGGAACCAGTCACAGGCACCATGCACAACATGGAATTTTGGCTGGTAACCGGTTTTCGCTAAGCAAATATTTTCTGCACTCGGCAGATTTCTTGTGCTTCGTTGAAGACAATCTATCCCTCTTCCTCTTACCAGTTCCCGTCTCTGACAGATGAAGAACTGCCGCCTCTTGAAGGAGATCTTGATGATCTTGGCCCAGGAGAAGGTGTTGATGCGGACGTTGTTTTGGAAGACGACGACACCTAGCGACGTGATGCCGATGTGGATCTCCAGCCCCGACTGGTCCTGATAGAAAAAGATCAGTATGGTGATCAGTGGATATTGTGGTGATCAGTGGATATTGTGGTGATCAGTGGACATTGTGGTGATCAGTGGATATTGTGGTGATCAGTGGATATTGTGGTGATCAGTGGATATTGTGGTGATGAGTGGATATTGTGGTGATGAGTGGATATTGTGGTGATCAGTGGATATTGTGGTGATCAGTGGATATTGTGGTGATCAGTGGATATTGTGGTGATCAGTGGATATTGTGGTGATCAGTGGATATTGTGGTGATCAGTGGATCAGGCGATTAAATGGATACAGTGGGTATCGGATTAATATAGGATGATTGATATGGTTCACAGTTATGGATAAAGCTTACACAATAAATAAAGACTTTTAATGAAAGGAAATACTGTAGATAGTGGATGTCGTAATATAGTGAATTTGTAAATAAAATGCACACAGAATCACATGGAGATTTTACCCTTGCATTATGGAAGTCAACTCCGTATTTCTCCAAGTTCTTCACCTTCTGAAGGAAATTGAACTCGGCATCAACAGGCAGCTGACCACTGGATTCACAGGAAGAAGAAAGAAAACTTGACTGATTGAACTGTTCCCTTGTTCTACGAGGAACTAAAAACCGAAGTACGTTACGATTTGCTGTGCAATAAACTCCAGGGGTGCAACAGATAAACACAACCGGCCTTCAAGCTGAAACATGTCTCAGCCTCGGACACGATTCAGACTCAATGAAACAGTCAGTCAGTCAGTAGGTCAGTCGGTCATTGATTCAGTCAGTCGGAGGACAATAGGCTGGTCTTTGTGGTCCAGTAAAAATGACAACTGATTTTCTTTAGTTACCGGTAGATGGCACCCCAAACTTGGCTTTGTATAACCGTGGCCAGACTTACAAGTTTGCCTTGTGTAGGTGCTCCACCTCCCGGGTGAATTCTTCCGTCTGGTCGGGAACGAGGCTGAAGTTCTTGAGGTAGCCCTGGGTTTGCTCCTCGGGCTCGTAATCACCAAGTTCAGCTACAAGGTCAAAGGTTATAATGAATATCACAAGATGGCAAGCAGTTGCAGCCTGGGCTAAATTTAGAATTAGTTAACAATACTTTTTTTAAATTGAAAACATTCAAATGCACCTGTGCAGGTGTCAAAGGTCAAGTGAAATTATGCATATTCATAAGATGAAAGGTCATAGGTTTCTCTTCAGGACAGCGTGTGCTTTAGGGCTTTGACTGGGCTCAAATTCTACAAGCAATGGAGACGAGTGGGGACGTTCAGCTGAAATAGCCAATGCAAGTTAAATCCCTTTGATCTTTAAGTTCACTAATGGAATGGAAATTTAACCAAGTTACTTTTTCAGGAAATTAGGATTTTTCAAAGGCTTTCAAAGACTTTTCAAAGTGCATTAAAGCTTTCACTGATGCAGGATCAGAAAGATCCAAGGGATTTAAATCAGCCTTCAGTCTGACTACAGAGTTCTTGACCTTTCATGTAACTCTTTCTCAGAAATCACTAACCTTGTACGATGTACGAGGCAAGCAGAGCACCCATGTTGAAGGAACACGTCAGCCTGCGAGAGAAGGGAAAAACCAGGGACAAGATAATACAGGAAATGATTAATACGGGCCGTTCAGAACCAGGAAGACGGACTCTGCGATAGCGGGAATTCAGTTACCGCTCATATTTCATTGCTGGCATTGAGCTTCATCAATCTGTATTTCGGCAAGAGACATTGAACCCTGCTGGAAAATCTGGTTCTTATTTTTGTAAAACTCACAGGGGTATAAACTCATTAGTTCCCGTACTGTCCTGTACCGCCCTGCCTGTTACGCCTTGTACCGCCCCAAACTGCACTAGCACTCATACATGTATGGTTTCATGAATACCGGTACATCAAGGAGTAAAATGTAGTACAATGTAATACAAAGTAGTAATGGGTTCGTTAGTGTGACGTCACTTCTTTTTCAGGCATGCAACTGGGAAATCACACAAAAAAGAGGAAATTCAAATTTTTCCTAGACTTTGTACAGTGTCTTTCTATTTTCAATGGCACACATGGGAAGTAAAAAAAGAGGAAATCAGCTGATCTGAGGAAAAGTTGCTGCCTGCTTTTTACATCACGCCCACTGCACATTGGGTAGCATTGGAACTATTGTAGCACAGCAGATACATATAGAACAACAAGAAATGGCAGCCATTTTGAAAATTTTGAAAATTGCTTGTTATTCTACCTATATTTTTTTTCAAAGGACAAATCTGCAATGGCCCTACAGTCAAACATCTTTCTTAAGACAAACTCTGACTGTGTGCCAAATGCCATGCTTGTATTGTCAAACGCACAATTCCCCCACATATTTCCCCTATCTGCCCCACTGTTGGAAACGGAAGCTAATGCAACTTGAGTGTTTATCCAATGGACATTAGTAATCAGTGGTGCGTGAATGATGACGTCACTAATGAACAGGATAGGGCTCTGGAAATGTCAGTGGCTGTAATGTTAAGTGGTGTCTAATGGCTTTTGAGGGATTCTTGAATAAATTTTTGCTTTGTAAATAATCTTTGAAATTTACACGTATGTCTTGTTCATTTTCAAACAGTTGAAGAAATTGTACTGTAGCTGGACAATTCTGGAATTCGCCTTAAGCCGTGCCAACCTTTGGTTTGTGTAATTTTTTTGTTAAGTGTTTGAGATTGAGTTTAACTAACTACATGTAACTTGGTCACTTCAAGTCTACTGGTGGGATTTAAATCTGAAATTTTGAACATTCGGTTTGAATTCCACAATTCGGTTTCGATTTTGGAGTCTGGATATTCGAAACCAACCTTAAAAAAAAAAAAAAATTAAGCCTTGCATTTTCTGTGACACAGGCTAAAGAATAAAACTGGAACATCCCCCAATTTGCTCCATGGTCTCTGATTGTAACTGCATTCACTTGCTAGTGGTCTTCTTGGTATATGGATAGCCTGCCCTACTAGAGAGTTCCCACAGATTTTTTTCTCAACATTACAGCTCTGGAGTGTTTTTTAGAAAGCCCAGTGGTCATTGAATCCTGCCAACTATACCCAGTCATTGGGAGGACATTGCATGTGGCATCTCACTCGTCACTCTTTGTTGACATGACTGCGAGCTGGATGGGAACATCCGGCGATATCAGATGACTGTTATTCGGTTTGGAACAAAATTAGGATAACTGGATTTTGAAATGCGCACTGTTTGATTGATACGCAGGAAAGGACCTTACGAGCCACTTACTTACAGAGAGCCTTCAGAAACTTAAACCTAATCAATTATGAGCTATGTGGTAATATGGCACGTGAGTAAAATAAAGATTCTCTGATTTTTGGACCAAGTATGCAAACGATTGTTTGGTACAACGTGCCCACTGTTTTCGTAGTAACCCGTAAGGGGAAATGGAATGATAAATGGTTTGGAAAGGTAAACACAAATACAAAACTCTAGCGGACACAGGCTACGTCAACTTTTCATACAATAGTGATGAAACAATGAAAACATTGCAGCCGGGAAGTGAAAAAGAGAACACCGTTTCCGTCCGCCCACAAACATGCAACAATTCCACTTGAACAGGAAATGCCTGTAGTGTTTGAATTAAAAGTCAGTGAGATTAGCAGAAATTTGTTGCGCAGTGTCATGAGTTGTCTTCCTTGTTCCCAAATGTGAGAGGTGATACATGAAGGTTTGAGTCATGGGGGAAATAAAGGAATGCTTGGGATCAAGGTTGGGGCATCGCGTAGGAAGTCTTTCTGGTCAGTGGACAAAATGTTGGGGTCAGATTTTGGCCACATTTACCTAAGAATCCTGTTACGACTTTTCAGTCTGCATTCAACACACGTAGGGCACTAACGCTGGGACTGAAGCATGGCTTTCTGTTTTTTGTTTTTGAAATCTGACAAATCAATTCATATTATTGATCTCATTAGAAGACTTGGGTAGGGAAAGGAATTGAGCTATTTAAAAAACTTGTTTTATTATTACTTATTATTATTTGTCATTGAGCTTCGATAGAACAAATCAAAACTTCCCAAACCATTTTTTAATCAGGAAACTTCTGTCAAATCGGTGAAGACGCACTGACCTGATCAGAACTGGTCACACACTCATAAAATACCAGGAAATAACACGGAACAGTTCGGCACAAAAGGAAAGAAAGCAAAACATCAATGTAAACTAAAACAAACAGAATGATTCAGCAACAACCAAAAAAGCTATACTTAGCACATGAAACGAAACAAAAACCTCTTGAAAAATAATCTGCACTGGTCATAAATATCCCCTTGTTTTGTTACACTTTCTGTAACTCAATACCAATCCTACAATTTGATAGTATCTGATGCGTGATATAGAACACTGTGAAAGTTATATCTATTTTTCTGTCAACAAGATTTTCCCCCACTTATCCTGATCAGAAAGATGCACTGCATGTAATAAAAACAAGAGTTAAAGGTATAATCCATCATTTGTAATTTGTGCATTTTGTTCGTTTGAAGCAACAAACGTGCTCAAAATCTAATGAAGGGTGCTGAACGACTAACCGGATGAAGTTTCAGCTCAGCTTCAGCTGTATATTCCGAGAAAAACAGCATTCTAGGATCTCAATTTCAAATCAAAAGTTGCTGAATCATGTTTTAAATTGGGCCTGAATTCAGCGTCCGAGACACTTTCTCACTGAGCCGATTGCAGCTACGCGATGTCGCGCACTGATCCGACGAATTATAGCAACCGCGTGTGCGTCGTGTCAACGCTTGCGTGCGCTTCGCCGAATAAAAAAACGAACTACTTACGGAAATTTCCAATGTTGGAAAGGCCTCATTTCATTAATTTCTTCAAAATGGCAGCTTGCCAGAAAGAATAACTTCACAGGGAGTTTAGTCCCCTTACTATCTTTCAACCAAGTATGTTTTTCAACAATAATTACGTCAGTTACTTTTTGGATAGCTGCAAATGATGGACTGTAGCTTTTAAGCAAGGAGCTTCCGTTGTTTGGAAGAGGATCTTTGATTCCTCCCTAAAAAGTCTAAAAAACTCCCCTTCTGAACATCAACCACAACCTTTAACCCGAACTCCTTAGTGTCTTTTTTTACTAAATACTGGACCAAGTCCGCCAAAATCCATCACTGACCCTGCTTCACAAAATGCTTTAGGACCAAATCTGCTGAAATCCACTGCAAGACCACCACTGCTATAGGTGGATCTTGATGGACTTGGTACTCATGGCTTGCCTACCAAAATCCCCAAAATGGGGCGAAGGATTTTGATGGATTTGGGAAGGTTAGGGTTAAAGGGAAGATACAACATTTGCAAACATCAAAAAACGGAATGATCAAGTTATCACGGAATACCTTACTGGATTGTTAGGGAATGACAGTCTAAAGCATCCGGTAAAATCGTGGCTCCTGGTGTGCTCACATTTTCAAGAAAAATTGTATTTTTCAAATGCTGGTCTGCCGACCAGCGTTGGAGAAAACTGGTTTTTTTTTTCAAAAACTGCTTCTAAATGTTCATATTTAATTATTTCTCATTTTCTTCGCAATTGATTACACACCTGTTAAAAGGGTACAAGCCTGCTAGACTGATTATCTGACCTCCAAATTAATCCTCCAAATTCATTTATGTCGGAAAATTTCAGCAAAAGCTAATGTTGTACATTCCCTTTAATGTCATTTCAGCACAGCAACAGTCAGTTTAGTGCAAGTAAAAAAATACCAGAGAGCTTCTTCGGAGCAAAAATTGAAACCGGTCAGACTGCCCCTTTAAACATCATCCCAGGTACTTCGTCAGTCAAGTTTGAGGTTGTGTGCAAACAATGACAAAGATACACAAACTGAAACCAGATAGAATTTCCATGTATATGTTCCTATGTTTCTAAAACAGTTCCAGGGTTGCGTTCAGTGATTGTATCAACACACACATTGTGATTTGAGAAGCCCCAACCTACTCACCCCAAATAGAAAGTAGAAATCAGAGCTCTCTGGTGATTGACAGTTTGCAGAAAAAATACTTCCCTAAAAGTGAAACCTAGGAATCAAATTGGTCCCAAAATGGCAAGTGCTTTGACAATTGACACGCGCCAGTATTTATGATTACAAATATTTTGACACATGCCTGTAAATGCCATTTTTCATAAGTACTGTGTGTGAAAAATACACATACATTGTACATCATTGGCTTTTGCTGTCATTTTCAGAAATGAACTATTTGGGGGTTAGTATAATAGATCAAATATTGTTACATTGACATGTTTGAAGTTTTGTGTTCAAAAATGCTGGGGAAAAAAAAAATGTTCACGAGTCTGGTTCCCTGACTCCACTAAAGATGAAATGGATCAAAAATGCCTGAAAATTGTAAGGTAAGGGAACCAGTCTAACTGAAAAATAAATGGTAAATTTGGAGCAGTAGTTGAAAAACAGTTAGGTTTTTCCAACGATGGTCAGCCGACCACCATTGGAAATGTAAACAAAAGTACCATTTTTCTTGAAAATGAGAACACACCAGGTGCCCTAATTTTACAGGATGCTTTAGACTGTCATTTACCAACAACCTAGTAAGGTATT